GGGCGCATTGAAGAACCAACAAGATCGTGAGGCCGGTATGGCCCTCACTCTGCACAGTGATGACGAGAGCGATGCCAGCGAAGATGCCGAGGAAGGCGAGGGCCAGGATTTGGCTGCTCTAGCCGATTCAGACGTATGCGACTCCTCTCCCATGCGTTTACAGATCTCGGGATTTCGATCTAACAATTTTGTTTTAATCTAGCTTTTCTTCCTTGACTCCGGTGCACCTCCCACCACTGATTTCATCCCATCGCCGGAAACCCCGTCGGACGCCGAGGACGACGACGAAGAAGAAGATGACGAACCCGCAGTATGGTACGATAGCGACGACGAGCGCCTCGCCGTGTCGCTAGCAAGCCAAGCCAGACTGCGCAAATTGCGCAACACCGAAGCCGAAGATGTAGTCAACGGCAAGGAATACGTCCGACGACTGCGCAGACAGTTCACACGCCTGCACCCGACACCGGAGTGGGCCACGCCTGAGCTCAAGCGCCGCAAGACGGACTCGGACTCGGGCAGCGAGGAGGAAATTGACTCGGACGACGAGAACGAGAATCTCTCTATGCAGCCTCTAGCCAAGCTCCTCCAAAATGCCTCCGACCTGACGCGCATAGAAGACAACGCGCGCTCCAACACAAAGCGCAAGCTGCGCCAGGAAGTCATCGACATCCAGAGACTGAAGGACATCGGAAAATCCCAACCCTCCTCCGTCGACTCCCTGGCCTTCCACCCGCACTACCCGCTCCTGCTCTCCTCCGGACCAGCCTCTACCCTTTTCCTACACCACATCTCTCCCTCCGCACCCGCACCAAACCCTCTCCTCACCTCCCTGCACATCAAGCGCACACCAATCCACACGTCCGCCTTCGCCGCACCCACAGGCAACAAAATCTTCGCCTCGGGCCGCCGACGCTACTTCCACATCTGGGACCTGGACACCGGTAAAGTGGACAAAGTCAACGGCTCCTCCGACCGCAAGGAAGAGCAAAAGTCCATGGAGCGCTTCAAGCTCTCTCCATGCGGCCGCTTCGTCGGCCTAGTCGGCACAGCCCGCAAGGGCGGCGGTCTGATCAACGTCCTGGACGCCAACACCGCGCAGTGGATCGCACAGGTGCGCGTCGACGGCCGCGGCGGCGTCGCAGACTTTGCCTGGTGGTCTGACGGCGAGGGTATGACAGTCGTGTCGAAGAACGGTGAGGTCTCTGAGTGGGATGGACGTGTCGGCCGTGTTGTTGCGCGCTGGGTCGATGCCGGTGCTGTCGGCACCACGGTTCTCAGCCTTGGTGGTCGCTCGGGCCGGACTCAGCTTGGTGGGGATCGGTGGGTTGCAATTGGTTCTTCCAGTGGTATTGTTAACGTTTATGATCGTCGCGAGTGGGCGGCTGCGTATGCGAATGCTTCTGCTGCTGAGAAGGATTCTCCGGCTCAGTCGGGTATCCCGCGTAACCCTGACCCGGTGCGTGTGCTTGATCAGCTCACTACCCCTATTAGCCACTTGGTCTTTGCGCCTGATGGGCAGATGATGGTTATGGCGAGTCGGTGGAAGCGTGATGCATTGCGTCTTGGTATGTTTTCTGGCTCTGCTTGTAATTTGTCTTTTGTGTCTTCCTTGCTAACGGTCTTTCTTTTAGTTCACCTTCCTACCTGCACGGTATACCGTAACTGGCCTACTTCCAATACGCCATTGGGTCGCATTTCCTCGGTGGCTATCTCACCGAACTCGGGGCAGTTGGCTGTTGGTAATGAGCAAGGTGGTATCCGACTCTGGGAGATTCGGGGATAGAGTTCCCGTACTGAATAAAATATTTATGTTTTCTCGTCATATATTTACTACCCCAATAGTGGAAGATGCTTTTCATTCTGTTTTACAGTTGCAGCCGTCAATCCATATCTCCAAGGTTGGTATAGAGTTAGGGCTGGATCTCAATCGCTGCCTGGGCCTGTATACCAAGCATCGTCCAAACCTCGTTCTACAGTAATAGATTAAAAACAAAGCAAGATAGCACCTAAGCATTACCCAAATATAAACGCAATGATACTTTCGTAATAGGCCAATCGTTTTTTTGAGATTGTTCGTAGCTTTCTAGCAAAGAGAAGCAAACACGCAGAACGCCCAGGATCCAAAAGATAAGAGTAGGGTGGGAATAAAAGCCAGTAAACACGCCATAGCACATGCAAGTCGTGTCAAATTGAATGAAGGGCCATGATCTCATTCGTGAGAAGGTTCTATACTGTTGGCCTTGGTTAAGGATTTCCAGTAACAAAGGGGGTATCTGGGGCAAACATCAAAGAAAAAAGCGCAGGAAAGGAAAATAAAAAAATAGCTCAGCAAGGATCACCCCCGGCGTGCTTTGCTAAATTTGGGGTTGGGTATAAATTGGTGTGGTTTCAGAAGATTCTGAGGATAGGTGAAGGAGATATGGGGTAGATAATTTGTAACCATAATAGACGAGTGAGACTTGAGAGATTCCTAGGTTGAATGGATCTCCACAAAAAGCTACTCTCCCGGTCTGCTTGGACCCCACCGTTGAGGTCGCTTTCCTTGCTCGACATAGTTCTTGATGATGCAGGGAGCACGATCGGGGCCCTGACACACCTTGTGGCGGTTGAGATGCTTGAACTTCGGGCCAAGGGGTCCGTTCACGAAATGGTACTGGCCTGCAAATCGATACTGACGATTATCGCCTAGTGGGTAGAACTTGTCACCCCAATGGCCCCTGTAATGAAACCATTCCGTGGGGGCAGAGGGGCTGAAGGTGGAGGCTCGCAGATTCTCGCTGTCGAAGTCATAGGTATAGGCCTGCGAGTTGAGGAGGGGATCCCATAGTGGACCGCGGTCGGTTAAATCGTGCAGCAGTCCCCAGGGGAGAAGGTACTCGTGCACTCCGGCCGTGGCGTACATGGCATGGCTACCCTCGGCAGAGTAAATAACGGGCTGACAAGGTAAAGTTAGTGAAAGTATACTTGCTACTTGTGTCATTTGTGTCCTTACCCGTTTCCCGATCTTCTCAACGGCTTCGTAGCTATAAGCCTCTCCGCCTTGGTGGGCGCTGAAGAAGAGCGCTTTTGGTTTGCCATTGTGGAATCGCACCAGACAATGCTCCCAGTCACCGACATGATTGCCGAACCGCACGTTGACAACAGTATTACCGAGGTTGAAGCTGTAAAAGTAGAACCAGAACGCATCGACGATTCCATTGCCTTTGTCCATTACCACCAGGATTGCAGGGGCGTCGCTTCGACCACCGGCACCACCATCGTTGATCTCCTCTCCACCGTAACGTTTGCGGATCTCCTCTTTGAGTATTTGCTGAGCTTGAGAATGTTCATCGGTGTTTGATTCGTGTACCTCTGCAGCCTCTTGTTGCAATTGGTGAAAATCGTACCACTTGGCACGGTCTTCCTCCGTGTCACCGGGAATTTCACCATCGACTCGACCATCCCAATCAGCCCAGGATTCTTCCTTGTGATTCTCATCTGTTTGTGGGATATTCCTGTCACCCTCCAGCCATGGTGGACGCGTCTGTACATCATCATTGCTCGTCAAGAAAACGTGTCTGGACCCCCACTTGTTCAACTCATCCAGATCGGCCAACGTCGGATGGTCCCATTGGGCCTGAATAGGAGTGTAATTCAGGGTCGGGGTAGTATGATGCAAGTGCTCTGCGATGTCCCCCGGCCAGAACTGCTCGCCAGAATAAAGGTGAACGAGTGGGGCATAGTGGAAAACATAGTCCGGGATCTGCCGCCGAGCCCGCTCTTCGGCATCCCACTCGGACTCACTAGCCCCGCTAAGCCAAAAGGACCGCCATGGTGCCTCTGGCTCGACGTCTTGCGCATTTACCCACTCCGCTGGATCGCGATGTCCGAATTCACCGTGTACGGTTTGTAAATGGGCTGCACCACAGATGCCGAGCCATCGGCAGGATTTACGGTCGAACCACGAGCGCGAGCTCGCGATCCAGCTCCGCTCCTCCCGATCTTCCGCAGACCAGACAAAAGCAGCCGGCCGGAGTACGTGGATTATGCTGTTAATGGATACATAAGCGATCAGGGTCGAGAGCATGGCAATTGTTGCCTTGGCCTTCCGGGTCATCTGCTGGAGCGAGTCGACATAGACTGTCAGGGCCGAAGAACTATGTGGGGTATGTTCATAGACCGCGATTTCGGGAATTGCAGTCGAGGCTAGGGGTTCAATGCAGTGGTATTCAAATGGTAGGGCTGCAGCGGTCGGGCATTCCCCAGGAACTATGGTGGGACGAGAGATAACGAGGGTTGGGACCAGGAGGGTGCACAACAGGACCGCGGGGTACCCTATATAAAAACACAGGTCCCTTTGTTAGCGAACTCCCGGTGTTCCGAGTCCTAGAATATTTCCCAATCAAGGAGTTCCAAAAAAGGCAAAAAGAAAAGGAAAGAGCGACGGCAAGAATCAATATTTTGAACTGGTCAGACCGGGAGCGAACGGAAATGCAGAAAAGTCATAGCCAAGCCGGATGCGATATACCGAGTGCATAGGAGTATCCGTCGAGAGCCGGAGGCGGAAGCGACGGGAACTTACAAAATGACCCCATTCTCCTTGTCTTAAGTTGTTGCGGTGAAAAGAGAGTGGGCTTGGTTTTTGGTTTTTTTTTTTCCGTAAGGCTGAAAGGCTGGGCATCACACTACTTAGTTCTAGACAAGATTGTATAATCTTGGACATGTATATGGATGTACTCCCAAAATGATTTCTAATCTGTGTTTTTTTTAAATAGTGCATTATGGCCGGAAAAGTCAAAAAGAAAGTCAATTCTATAGGGATAACCCCTCCAATTGAAACATCAAGAAATGCACATGTTGCCATATTTGCCACCAGGTCGAATGTTGATTTTGTCCCAATTGGGAAAAGAGGGGAAGATCAGCCCTGATCTCACCGCTTGCAGAAAGCTGACTCATCTTTATCTTATCTGCGGTTTTTGTTCCAGACCAGTCAGATTATCACCTTGCATTTCATGGATACAATGGTCGACTCCGAATCCGAAGAATATGAATATGAATATGGCACAGAGACTGAGGTGGGAATAATTAACTTGATCCTCTCTCAATATCGCTATATCGCTAATCAATTAATAGAGCTTTTATCTCAACCTGGATCTGACCGCCCACCATGGCCCAGTGCGCCCTCCACGCCGTCGTCCAAAAGGAGCAACGCCTCTGGAGGAAACACAGAACCCTGCAGATGATATAAGCCAAGCTTTTCCAAGCGAAGCTTATCCTCCGATCGAGAGCGCCGAGACCGGCAATCTCGTGAACGAACGAATCCAAATTCTCGACCTCCACACGACCAACCCAATCATCTCATACCACAACCAAATGTTCAGTTGCTCCTGGGCCGATCAAATTGGCACCGAACTAGTTTTTGCCAGTCCAGATGCAGAAACCGATCCGGATAACCACTTCCTCCAACCGCTACACCGTGGCCCCTCCTACGAGCTTATAGCCGCCAACAGCGTGAAGATCCTCGGTCGGAAGGCACAGCTCGCCCCCAGCGCTGGACTAGCACAAGCCCAAGGCCCTGCCGAGGGACCCTCAACCACAGGTTCTACCGTCGAGTCCACGGCTTCTCAGGATGCCGAACCCCTCGGAGTACCCCGTCGTCCCGCGGCGCCATCCCACCAGGCACAGTTCCTCCACAGGTTGCAGCAGATCAAGAACGCCAAGGGGGAGGGCGATACCGTTCGCACGGTCATGAGTACACGTCGGCAGGTGAATATGACGGATAGACAGCAAGGCTGGGCCCGTACCGAGGCGCAGCTTGCTGAGATCGAGCGGCTGAACGAACGTGCTTCGAGAGGGGACTCGGAGGCCAAGGCGACTCTTGAAATGCTGATTCAAGAGCTCAATCCTGACGAGGCAGAGTCTGATTCCGACTTGGAGTTAACGTCTGATAGCGATGATCTTACTTCATGAATGTGCAGATCGACAGTGTGCTGACCTCGACACAGAATTCGGGTCTAGGTCTAGACCCTGTGTCGTTTGGGTCCACCATCCGGGGCCTGAAAAAGCCACCGGATGTCGGAATCTCACTGAGTCTGCGTTGTAGTCTCTCCGCTATTGCTACGTAGCCGACTTGTATTGTCACGTGGAAGTGCCGGGGATCGAGGAACTGACGAAGAGATATTGATATCCTTGCTAGAAGTAAAGAGACTACTTTCGTGATGGTGACACGCCACTGACTCTCTCTTTCTACGATATTGGAGGAATGGCATCACAACCTGGGACAATCGTCCCAAAATAAGCAATCACTGGAGATAAGCCCCCAACTTGGCCAAGGGAACAGCCAATCGATGGAGCCATTTTAGCTACGCTAAACATTTACTGTCTAGGTGGATCTAGAGGGTAGCACCATCCACAAATCCAATGCAGGAATGAAAATCTTGTTCCCGTTAAGAAAAATCACTAATCACACAAACCATGATAACACATAGATTGCTCTTCAAACCAATTGTATCCTGTATCCAATGCTCCCCTTTTGGCATCTAGAACCTCTCCACAGAGCACAGAGCAGGTTGTGCGACCCCATCTTGTTCCTCACTGTGAGACTGGTGACGTCGGGATCGGCATATCTTCACATGCACCAAGCAGACGGTTCATTGCTCGCGTCAGACTACAGCTTCCACGCTGTATATCTCGTACTATGTATTTGGTACTTTGTATTTCTCACACACAAAAGTAGTGTTCTAGCAACCCTTACGTCAGTCATGGTCACACTGTATCTTCGACTTCCCGAGGTCGAGTCCAAGTTCTGGACTGTTTGGGTTCTTTTTTACAGCAATTACAGTTGTAGTAGCAAAGCCATGAAAGGGAGTATAATATAGAGTCGGTGCTAAGTATACACCGGGCAAAAAGGTATACAGAGTAGTATAATAATATCCAATTTTCATTTCTGATTTGGAAAGCCCAGGGAAACCCAAAATTAAGAACACCAATTCCCCAGACTTTTAAAGGCGCCCCATCGCGCAAAACCAGAACCAGATAATAAGTGTCCGCGCCGCCATGCAACACGCTAAATCCAACAGGCGACAAGCAAAAGGAAAGACATAAGGCTAACAAGCATCGCGGATATCAAGTCAAGAACGAATAGGAAAAAAAAAATCAAAGAGAGAGAGCAACGGACAGGACAAGGCGAATCCACCAAACGGTTCTAAAAGTCCAAGTGCGCAAGACCATTATCAGGGAATCTTAGATGATGGTACAACAATTTCTTCTTGGAAAGACCAAGAAGAAGAACATATTGAAAGGATGGTGAGAACGAAACCCGAAATCGAGAAAAAGAGCTTGAATCACTCCAGGCTCAAGCTCGGGATATTATTGTAGCAAGCCTTGCCCTTGGAGAAGGCAACGGGCGATGGCGGAGGCGCGGGAGGCATGTCGTCGATGAGAATTGAGCGAGTCTTCTCTGTCTTTTGGTTTGAGGCTGTCATGGCGCGGGAGATGTCCTGCGACATTGAGAAGGAGGGAGACATGACGGGGGTTGCGGTCTTGGTTGCGACGGTGGCCATTGTATTGTATTTGGATTTCTTGATTGAAGGTGTAAAGGTTGAGAGGATAGAGTAGGACTCTTCGAGTTTTGGTGTTTAAATATGTTGAAGAATGAAGTTGTTGGCTTGTGGGATTTTATACTTGGGAAAGTATGGAATTGATCGGCAACCTCGGCTGGAATTTGAGGTGTGTATAAGGCCGGATTATTCTTGGAGCTATATTCACGAGATCGAAGGTCAGCTTTCTGTTTGTGCAGAGTGCTTGTGCTTTGTACTTGGATTTGGCATATGCTCCGGTATAGATGAAGCTTGTGGCTCCGAAGTTGCCCGAGGCCCGGTTTCGGTGGATCGGATCGGAGGGAGCGATGTGATGTGGCAAGTGATGACGGGAGTTATACTTACAAGGATGAAAGAAATTATTGGGTTCAGGTATTTGCGAGGTGTAATAGTACCAAGGGTTGATGGGAGGTGAGAAGTGAGTTGTGGTTGGGATGATAGGGTGTAGTTGTGACAGTAAGAGACTCGATTAACTTGATTATTGCAGTGATAGTATTGCTCCGGTAGAAGACTTGGAAGACAATCAAAGCGAACGATGATAGCAAAGCTGTTGACAGTGCTTGATATGTAGTATTTGAAAATAATTGCACAAGAGGATGAACAGAACTAGAAGAAAAGGCAAGACGATTTCAGGGTCAACGGGTCGTTTATATTTTTTTCTCCTATCAATAAATAATAATCTAAAAAAAAAGAGATATGAGACACCCCAAAACAGATAATCAAATTCAAATAAAAAAAGTCATCCCCGTAAAAGTGTGGAGGAGTACATTCCGTGGGGAAACACGAAAGTACCCAGTACACGCATACCTGGCCAGGCCTAATGCTTACTCCCTAGGGATCTGCCCGCTAAGCCTATTCGCCTCATTCTAAACCGCCCAATGACCCAGTTATCGTGGTAGGGATGGAGAACATTCCCCATCGGAACAGCGGGAGCCCAACCCGGAAAGCCTGTCGGGGAGAAATAAAAAACAAAGGAGATGGGGCCTGACGCGTTCGTGTGGGGGAGATGACCCAGGGGTGAGAATCGATGAATCAAATTGATATTATGTATTGCGTTATTGACATTATTTGCCATAGAAACAACTAGTTTGGAAGACGGGAACAGCTAGCGAAAGCCGATTAAACCGGTTGAATCGGCAAAGTTTTATTTCAAAAACTAATGCATTAGTGCTAGTTTAAGGGTTGTATTCTATGATTCTACGCCTTCTAGCGTTTCCCGGAGAAAACTCGCTGTTGACCTCGGCACGAGAGCGGATACGGGTGATCCCTTTCGAGAACAAAAACTGGGGCCCAGCGACCAGATTGCCGGACTAATGGAAGGGATTTTTCCGTTGCGGTGTAGGGGGTTGGCTGGGGGGTGGCGACAGGAATCGGAGCTATTATTTGACATGACGTGAAATATATATATGTATGTTGTACTCTGCCGGGGAAAAGGTATCATCCGATTTTGGAGGCGTTGCCATTTTCACCGTCTATTGAAAGCACTTAAATCAGGACTTTTTCTCTTTTGACGTGCTCACCGTCTCCCGAGGTGCATTGCTAATCAGGACGATCTTCTAAAAATTGAGACAAGATTGCCCGAAGACACTTGGGTTGAGTTGTATATGATAAAAGGGGCAGCTCAAGTACCGGTAGACCCGCCTATAGTGCAACACCAATGCAACACACGACAAAACTTGTATGAAATAGTATATCGCATGGCGCCACATATAAACCGGTAATAGTTTTGGAACTTCGGCTAAATCACCAGGGAGAGCAGTGGACCACGCCAGGGGCCGAAACAGTCTGAGGCGCATATCAAATCCTTTGAGGTGTGTTTACATCGTGTCATCGTGTACGGAGTAGTACGAGTACGGAGTCGGATGCCCAACCCAGGGATACGATCCATGATCCGGGGTTAGCTTTTTCCTAATGATTCACCGTCACCTCCTTGGTAAATTCAGGGGCACAAACGTTGAGCTACAAAAGTACTAAAATCCTCTTGACCGTTCAACCGTTGATCGACGTCCGAATAGGGAACTCCACAATTCTTCTCCCCCGGATTCAAGGGGCCACTGTAGTGATTTGACTATTTTCAATATGCAATGCACTCCACCCCACTGGTACATACGGACTCACAATGGATAAGTTGTCTGGGGGAAAGGGGGGAGTGTTACTCTAGAATCTCTAGAATGTCCATTCCACATATTTTGATTTCCTGATTTCCTGGGTGCCGGGTCTCCGACGGTGATCTAAGGCGCATTTCTTGGGCATTTTGGACCTCCTTGGATCGCGGATGGGCTTCCCCGTAGTATCTGCTTATAATAGCAACATTAATATACTATGGAGTATCATATTGCGGTATCAGGAACTTCTGCGCTATGTCTAGTATACTTGCATATCGAGGTGCACCATGTACCTCGTGAAGTGTTGTAGATAATAACATTCTTTTCGTCTTTTGGTGACCACGTAAGATAAGCTCTCGGCATGGTGACTTGTCCTTTTCACCGCTCGTTTACAGATACCCTTGACCATGTACTTGCGATAGATTGTAGAGATAGGGCCAAAGAGCGGGAGTGACGAGCTGGCTGCTCAGTGTGTTGTTAGATACACTATTTTCGACATTTGCGGCGCTAACCGTGGGATGGATTCGTCAGGTACAAGATGTACAACACATCCCATGCATCGTGGATGCATGGTTATGAGCTGACGTGATCATGGGCTACTAGCTATTCGGACTACTTGAGAACATACATATTTGAATCAATGTTGGTCTACCCAACACCTCAGGTTAACTTGTCTGCCTTATCGACTGATGGGGTATCCTTGTAGGTGCTAGACTTGATAGTAGGCAGTCTTGGGCATACCTACAATAAGTACCCTGGTGTACCCCTCCAGCCAAGTACATATATGTATGACAAGGCGAACACAGGGCTGATGCGATCGATACGCAGGGGGCAGTTCGATCGGAAGAGATCGAGACCAGATAATCGACTCTTTGGCCCTGCTGGGAGGGGTGCCCGATCTACAGATTAGCACTGACGAATTGTTGGATTTGGAATCGCGTTCGATTCTGGCCCTTGCACACCTTCGAAGATCTTTATCTAATTATGACATCCCTTGGACTTGTCACGATCTTTCAGGAACGAGAGCCCTACTTTGGACCTGCAACCCTGAACTCTATGCCACTTCCCACCTTGCAGAGAATATGTTTTCAAAAATGCAAGCTGACTATCTTCTAGATGATCTTCTGACCTGCTAGTGCCCCGTGTCCTGTCTTGGAAGTTGACCGCACAAACTTCTCGCTAACTGCCAACACCAGTGAAATATATCCAGGACAGCTGTGAATTTGGCGTCCGAGCTCGGGTCAGATGGTGACACCAATCAGGCCCCAGGAAACCTTGGGAAACATGGGGAAGACTTTCTATGTGTCAAGCAAACCAGATCAACCAAAGTAAATTGAAGAAAACCTGGGGGGATCGGAAGGCTATCCGAGCGGGAGTGGTCTTCAGAAGAGAAAATTGAGAAAAATGCCTGAGGCTTTTCAAATTTTACGTCACGGGAACGGAATATCATTTCCCCTAGAGGACAGCAATTACTTCATATCTCGGAGACCGGCGGGCCCTTCCAATCGCAGGCCCGCCGAGAGTCCGCAATCACGTAAAGGCCCCCGCCATGAATTTCTTGGGATGTGTAAAAAAAAGGTATACGATATAGTTGTTGGGGTAAAGAGGTCCCAAATGCGCCATTTCTAACGAATAACGATGTACAACCGAAGACTGTGCACTGTGTAGAAGACGAGGGTTATGTTTACCCCGCAAGTCGTCCAGGTACCAGCCCTGGGGAGCCCCTCCGGTTGGAGATATGACATACACATGGAGGGATATGTTAATTGTGTGTGACCGGCTCTTCTATCACCGGCCCGGTGACATTCGCAAAGATCGCATCAAATTGCAATTGGCCTTGGCCAAACGTGTCAAACTCGTCAAACTATCTCCCAATGGCGAAAATCCCCGGACCGAGACAGCCACCAGTGGATCTGAATGAGTAGGGCAGTCGATCACGATGCGATCTGGGGGGTACACCATTCGGGCTGGAACATTGAGAATGAGGCATTTAGCATCATCAAAACAACTCCGAAGTTTCTTATCCCAGCCGAGTGGATTCTCCATGACACATTGCATTCCACGATATTTGATAGAGATCGCATCATTCCAAGGTCCTCCTGTATACATCGTCCATACAACCAGAGTAGGACATCTCAGGTGACTGTTCTTTTTTTTTTAGGTCCAAGTCTCTTGCAGGTCACCCGCTCACCTCTCTTTTGCCCCTGTTCCTGTGAACTAGTTCGCCTCAGCCACGTTCCAGACTTTTGAGGCAATTTTTTTCCCTCACTATCGGCCCGCATGACGCAGCGGGATTTTTCTATCGGCTTGAGCTCGGAAGGAGGGGCGATGAGGTCCAATCAGCGTGTAATGTATCGCCGCTTCTTAGTCAAAAGTGGACAGAGAATGAGCGTTTTGGGGTGGAACAAAGTGGAACTGCGGATCACAATGGGCTTCGAGACCTCTATACGGTCGAACCTCCCGCCTACCATCGGTTATAACTGGTCAAGGGGGTGGGACATAATGTAATAATAATAGAAATAAATTCAAGAGTATTAATAGGGATAATAGAGATTAAAATATGGGATTAATAGAGATAAGTACTATTAAAAGTTATCAAGGTGACAATCAAGTTTCTGTATAAAAGGACTAGGGTTCCCCGGATTTTCTGGTTGCTCTAATCCAAAAAACATCTTTCCCCTTTCCCATCACCTTCAGTCCATGGCGACGATCGGTGATCCTTGTATTTGCAAGTAAGTCTTCTCCTTCTCCTTGCCTCTCCTTGCTTGTTATCTCCACTTGCCTGGTGGAGATAAGAACATTCTTTGTGTCGCCTTATCTCATCACACGTGCCGACTCGATGATTCATCTCAGCTACTAATTGACTTAATATAGCTTCTTTCATCTTCTCGCTCTTACGTGTTAAGAGATTTTCCTGACATACTACATCATGTCGTCTCCCGCAACCACCCCGCTGTCGGGGACTCCCACTAGCAATGGCGCGAGCTTGCCTTCTCGTCCTCAGGCTAAGCTCTTTGCGAGCCAGGATGGAAGCTCCGGCTCGGGCACCCCCATCGGTTTCCAACGCTTCCCCCCTCACAACAAGCACTTAGATCATGCCGTTGGAAGTGCTTTGCGACAACCGTCCCCGCAGCCCACTCACCTGGGTATTCCCGGTACCCCGCACCGTGTGCTCTCCGAGGAGGACCCGGGCTATATCGCGGCTACCTTCGAGGGCAAGCAAAAGCAGATGGAACAAGGTCAGTGGAATTGACGGGTGGTACCGAGATGATACAATTGGCTAATTCCCAGCAGTTATGGACATATTGGAGGAGAAGGGCTTCTTCCCCAGTGACTTTGTCATCTCCGAAACCACCTGGTTCTATAACAAGCTTGGCATCGACGATACATACTTCCAGACCGAGTCTGTGGATGCTATTGTGACCCAGATTCTATCCCTCTACGCCGCCAAAGTCGCCGCCTATGCCCGCGATGATAAGCAGTTGGAGATTCGTCTGGACAAAGAGGCCGAGGACCATGCTGTCTACATCGATACCAGCAAGCCCGGTACGGTTTCTGTCGATGGCCCACGCTACGAGCAGCGCATCGACGAGAAGTACGTCAACCACTCCAAGGGTGCCAACAGTTACCGCGTGGAGACTTTCCGCTCGCCTAGCACTCTGCCAGGCGACAATGGCCAGCAGCTCCGCTGCTACTTCGTGTACAAGTGCCTGTTTGCCAACCCCAACCCCTCACCGAATGAGACCAACATCGATATCATTGGCGAGAAGCGCTTCCTGCAGAAGGCTACCCCCAACACCAAGGCGATTTACCAGGAAATTATCGCCACCGCCGTTGGTCGCTCCGGTCCCGTCATTGAGATGTTCGAGATCGAGGGAAGCCGGGAAAAGCGTCTGGTGATTGCGTATCGCCAGGGATCCGCCATGGGCTTGTTCAGTGCCCTGTCAGATTTGTACCACTACTATCGCTTGACCAGCTCGCGCAAGTACCTGGAGAATTTCTCCAACGGAATCACTGTGATTTCGCTCTACCTGCGTCCCTCAGACAACTCCGAGATCTCTGCCAAATTCCCTCCCATTGAGGCTGCTATCCACCAGATCATGAAGGAGGTCTCCCTCTTGTACTGTATCCCTCAGAACCGCTTCCAGGGCCACTTCGCCACTGGTCGTCTGAGCTTGCAGGAGACAATCTACGCTCACTGCGCCTGGGTGTTCGTACAACAGTTCCTTAACCGTCTGGGTTCAGAATACACCTCGTTGGCTGCTCTTTTGGACAGCAACAACAGTGTGCACGCAGAGTTGCTCTCAAAGATCAAGAAGCGTTTGCGTACGGAGACATTCACTGCTGATTACATCTTTGAGATTATCAACAAATACCCCGAGCTGATCCACAAGCTCTACCTTGACTTCGCCAACACCCACTACGTTCAGACCCAGGAGTCTGGTGATGACTTCCTCCCCACCCTCAGTTACCTGCGTCTGCAGGTCGACGAGGTCCTCGATGGTGCCAAGCTGAAGCAGCTCATCCGTGGCACCGCCCTCAACGAGCACGACGAGATGGTTATGACCTCCTTCCGCGTGTTCAACGCCTCCATCCTCAAAACCAACTTCTTCACCCCGACCAAGGTGGCTCTCAGCTTCCGCTTGAAGCCGGACTTCTTGCCAGAGCACGAATACCCCCAGCCCCTATACGGCATGTTCCTTGTCATCAGCTCCGAGTTCCGCGGTTTCCACCTGCGGTTCCGTGACATTGCTCGTGGCGGTATCCGTATCGTCAAGAGTCGAAACGGCGAAGCATACAACATCAACGCTCGTTCGTTGTTCGATGAGAACTACAACTTGGCCAATACCCAACAGCGCAAGAACAAGGATATCCCCGAAGGCGGTGCCAAGGGTGTCATCCTCTTGGATGCTGACCACCAGGACAAGGCGCGGGTCGCCTTCGAGAAGTACATTGACAGTATTCTCGATCTGCTCCTGCCCCCCGTCAGCCCCGGTATCAAGGATCCGATCGTTGACCTGCATGGTAAGGACGAGATTCTCTTCATGGGCCCCGACGAGAACACCGCTGAGCTCGTCAACTGGGCCACCGAGCACGCTCGCGGCCGTGGAGCTCCCTGGTGGAAGTCGTTCTTCACTGGCAAGAGCCCTAAGCTGGGTGGTATTCCCCACGATGCTTACGGCATGACTACCCTCTCGGTCCGTCAGTACGTGCTCGGAATTCAGCGCAAGCTGAACATCGACCCCTCTACACAGCTCAAGCTGCAGACCGGTGGTCCCGACGGTGATCTTGGATCCAACGAGATTCTTCTCTCCAACGAGAAGTACGGAGCCATTGTTGATGGGGCCGGTGTGATCTACGACCCGAACGGTCTTAACCACGCAGAGCTCCTTCGCCTGGCCAAGAAGCGCGCGATGATTTCAGAGTTCGACTTGACAAAGCTGTCCCCCGAGGGCTACCGCGTCCTGGTCGACGAGAAGAACGTCAAGCTCCCTAGCGGCGAGGTCGTCCACAACGGCATGATCTTCCGTAACACATACCACCTGCGCTCACAGGAGAAGTTCGACGTGTTCGTGCCCTGCGGTGGCCGCCCCGAGTCCATCGACCTTGCAACCGTCGGCAAGCTCATCAGGGACAACAAGTCTGTCATCCCCTTCATCGTCGAAGGTGCCAACCTGTTCATCACCCAGGACGCCAAGCTGCGCCTCGAGAAGGCCGGCTGCATCCTGTACAAGGATGCCTCTGCTAACAAGGGTGGTGTGACATCTTCCTCCCTGGAAGTCCTCGCGTCGCTGTCTTTCAACGACGAGGAGTTCGTCGAGAACATGTGCATCCGGGAGGACGGCACCGTCCCCGACTTTTACAAGGAATACGTCCGTGACGTGCAGGATGTCATCAAGTCGAACGCCGCTCTCGAGTTCGAGGCCATCTGGCGCGAACACGAGCAGACTGGTGTGCTTCGCAGTGTACTCAGTGATCGTCTCAGCTTGGCCATCACCAAGCTGGACGAGGAACTTCAGATGACTGAGCTCTGGGACAATGTTGCGCTCCGTCGCTCTGTTCTTAGCGATGCTCTGCCCCGTCGTCTGTTGGAGAAGATCGGTCTGGAAACCATCCTGGAACGTGTATGTCTTCCCCCTTCTATTTTCTATCTCATTTTTGAATCCCCGCTAATCAATCCCAGGTCCCTGAGAACTACCTCCGTGCCATCTTCGGCAGCTACCTGGCCAGCCGCTTCGTGTACGAGTACGGCAACCGGCCTAGCCAGTTCTCCTTCTTTGACTTCATGACCAAGCGCATGGCTAAGCTTCAGTCGTAAGCTTTTGGAAGTAAATATTCCTGATGCGAAAGAGCTCGTTTGACTGCTTTGACATTATTATTTTTTTTCTTCCTTTTTGACGAGAAAGACTTTCCGAAGTTAACGAAATACTTAATACGGCACAAAAGAAGATTTGTTCCCCTGACGAATGTATGGTTTAAAAAAGTTTGCCGAGCGAGGGAAGAGAAGGCCGTTCGGGCAAGATGATCCTTTAGAATAGGCAGTCTAGTGCTACATAACTCTATGCAAATTCTATCATGTTACACCAATCAATTCATTTCCACAATGTTTACTTCCATACATTATAAGATGACACGGACTCAGCCATAATCAACACGATATTCACTGCCTACATAGGCTGTCAGTATATCTTATTAATAGGACCAACACCCCTGAGAAGCCCACAACTCCTAATTAAACAAAATGAAAACTCACCAGTAACAAATCAACACCTTCGGAAACCTCAACCTCCCATCTCGGCCTCAATTTCATTTTGGATTTACTGTAGTCCATCGAATTGTGTCGCGTGATATGCATAATCTTCTGGTTACCCATCATCACACCCGTACCCGAGGGAGCTTGATGTGACACTTTTAACTCCACTTTTGAACCGGGGCCTGCATTGATTTCCGCATCAGCAGGACCGGAACTTGAACTGGTACTGACACTGGCATTTCGTGACGCAGACGCAGGAAATAATGCAGCCGGCACCGGCTCTTGCGGCGGCTCAAGTGCATCGAGCAGATCTCGTAGAGGATTAGGCCAGTTTCGACGGACAGAGTCGTAGGAAGGGAGAATGGAGGGAGAGTTGGTACGTTGTGTATTTCTCGGCGATGATGCTATTCGACTCCCAGAATGTGAATTGGGGAGTGGTGGATGTACTTTCTCGTCCCGCTGCACCGCCCCCGCATTCCCCTCACGAGCACGCCCATCCGGTTCTTCACCAACCCCAGAGACTGCACTATAAGGCGGCGGCTCGTCGGAACCAGACACGCCACCCACTTCCCCTCCCACCCCTCCTACAACCCCAGATCCCTCCCTAACTGCAAGCGCATTGTTAAACCGCACCTCAAGCTTAAACCCAACCCCAACCCCAACCCTTGCCCCAGGTCCATCGGCAGCCCATGGCACAGAAGCAACCAATAAATCCTGGTTCTGACCAGGAAGTCTAGATGCCCATTTCCGCGATAACCAAGCCCGTCGCAACACAAGGACCGGCACGCCCTCGGTATCGCAGATCATGTGACTTGTGTTCGGCCATGGTTTCCCGTACACGGTGTAGAGGAGGACGGTGCGGTCTGGGCTATCTGGGGCTTCGTGTGTGCGGATGCGGTGGACTGTGAAGGTAGGAGAGGAGGATTTGGTTTCCTTGGTGGATGCTATTGTTAAAGTTGTTGCGCTGTTGGTTAGGAGGTCTGCGGGTGGGGAGAGGAGGTGGTGGGGGTGGAGGGCAATTGGTGCTGCGGGGGATGTGAGGGGGTTGGATTTTGATTCCGAGGGCATTGGGATTTTGTGGCTTGGCGGATGTTATTTATGTAGAGATTGGTGGGTTACACTGTAGATTGTGTATATTTGATAGATCTTGGAAGAGTTGGAGAGAACATGATGATGTTGTGGAGTCGGGAGTGTCGGATAGGTGGGATGACAGCAATGAGGTCACCAACTAGGAGTGTGATATACAGTGGCTGTGCATTACCTTTTAATTTCGGTTTCAAGTCTTGTAATCCCCAAGTGACCTACGTAGTATACAAATGGTAAAATTGAAGCAACAGCAACTCTTAACGCGTCCAAGGTTTCCCAACGGACATAACGGATATAGCACATTTACTGATTTACCGAGGTATCCTTCGATCAGCTTAAATTACAGTAAATCTCTTGGCGATCTAGATCTTGAAAGTACGTAATTCTAGACTCCATGTATGGTATCGTATATCACATGGAGCCCCTCCTTGCTTATTGAGCCATACTATAGTTCTTTTCCAGCACTAGACTCACTGGTTACTAAACTGGGCTTACCACGCAAATGACATATCCCTCAAACCTATATATGATACTAAGCGGACAATCTCGTCCCCCGTGTTATTCATGCACAAGCTTTTCAAACCCATCGGGTATATCTTCCCCTTCAATCCAAGCCTTGGCAGTATCCGCAAAGAGCTTCGGATTTTGCCGATTCCACGGATGTCGCATCTCCGAATGGAAGTAAGCAATCGTCTCAGGATTGCCCTCGCGGCCAGTCTTCATTAACCGAAGGCCAACCTCCTTGCTATCGCCACTGGGTACTAGCCCCCCTTTTGCAGCAACCACAATCAAGGTCCTAGCAGCCCAAGGTGACGGCCATTGCAATTCAGGTGAAGGTGCCGCAATTTGCTGGCAAAGCTTGAGCGTGGTTGCACTTGTGTTATGAGGAATATCGGTACCGTTCATAGCCCATCGAATCACCGACCTCGGTATCAGGTTTTCGACATGCTGCATTACCCATACCGCACGGGGAATGTAAGGTGTGAAGACGGTGCGAGGAATTGACATGAATCCCGATACAAATACTGATTGCACCAGGTCGGGATAGGTACATGCGAGCTGGATGGCTACTCGAGCGCCTAGACTGTGTCCTATAACGTGTGCGTGCGAGTCAATCGCCTTGTCGCGAATAAGTTGTGCCAGCAAATCTGCGGCAGACTGAACTGAGAATTCTTGTTGGGACGATTGGCCGTGGCCCGGCAGGTCGGGGGCCAAAACGTGATATTTGGTTGAGAGATAAGGAACGACGAGGTCCCACCAACTGCCAGTCACCAGAGCGCCGTGGATGAGAATAATGGAAGCGGGCGCGCTGTCGTTCCAGCTTAAATAAGAGATTGGATATTCAGTCGCCATTTACAAAGTGCTGGGACGAAGCCTGTAAATTGGTAGAGGCTGTGGGTAACAAAGATGCCAGGCGTGGATAAGCCAAGTCCTATAACCTTGGGAGTTATATGACAAAACCTAGAGTAATTAATTCGAAAGAACCGTATTATGCAATACAGCTAGGATGTCATTAAATGATAGAAGAGTAAGATTATTCTAGACTAGCTCTCTAGGAGATACAATTAATGTAGTCAAAGGTACATCGATATATGGGGGCCGAAAAATCCCCCGATATGGATTAGCGCAGCTTAGGGCTCTAGGAGAATAGAGATAAACCTGATTTCGAATTTGACTGTACTATATAATTCAATATAGCAGTTTGAATCTCTTAGCATCTCTAGGCCTGTTTAGAATCCCATAACCATCCCAATTCTTCCGGTGGAACCATGGTCCATATGCTAATAATAGCCCTGAGAGGCGCAGTCTAGACTACGGGAAAATTCTGCTTTTTATACGGAATATTTCGAAAGTTCCGAAAATTTCCAGAAATCTATACAAGTAGTCAGTACATGCTAATACGTTAATGGCAAATGCTAGAGATCAATAAGGAATAAAGTTAGTGTGGGTTAGTGGCTAAGTGAGAAGCTTGTTTTTTTTTTTGATATAAGATGTCAGATGTCAGATGCCACCGGGGAAGTTCCTTGAAGGTGTCACATAAATTAACCAGCCTATCAGAGACCGGGTATATGTTCCTAATTGGGTCAGGCCAGGAACAAATCTTGTCATGCCGTGATTGATGTTATAACTTTAATGCATAAATTACATTACGTGGAGCCTTCAGATGAAACCGGATTCTCCTCATTTCAGACAAAAGGAACCCACTTCCCCCGATTTTCTTTTCTCCCTTCTCTTTATACCATGTCCGACCGTTTGTGGGGCCATCTGTTACTACCTAGGTAGACCGTTGCCACATAAGCCCTCTTTGCTATACGGGTCTGGTGAAAGAGGTCCTACTTTGATATATCCTATTTACCCCATATCCGAAAGGACTAAAGTCATTACACTTCCGCCCACTTCCGAAAAAATTGAAGTTTGCCGGGCCAGCCATGTCGGAGGCGCAGGAAAAGTTTCCGCCGATCCCTCGTCCTTCTGCGGAGATACCCGAGAGGGACCGAGCTGAAGACAAGGATCACAATACCGATACCAACACAGAAACCCTTCATACGGACGAGACCACCCTGAAGCCTAGTATCTCAACTTCTCAAAGATGGCGGACAGCAAGCCAGCGGGTTCGAAATCGGGCTGCCACGATAGCCGAGAAGCTCGGCCGACCCCACGAAAGAGAGGCTGATGGCTTGGATTCGCCGATGTTACCAGATTACTATGGAGCAACAGACGATATCCGGGGATTCGAGGCCCGCCAGGCAGCTGACGAAGAAGCCCGGCTCCCAGGAACAGACTATGATTCGCAAGCTCAGCTCTTGGTGGATCGAATGGGGTCACAGTTCAAGGGACGGCCTCCGCGCATCGAAGAGCCGCGTTCCGGTTCGACAACCCCAGGAACTCCAGATGGGACGGCAACACTTAGTGGTCCACCAGGAGGGCTCCTGTCACAATTGCTTCGTGTATACGCTAACAACCTCCACACTGCAAGCCGGATGAGTGTTGTCTCTACAACTTCAGAAACAGACCCGGACACAGAAAGCATCTCTCAATCCGGCACAGCAACACCGGGTGGAAAGAAGGAGAAATTGAAATGGTACAACGGCAGCCACCCCAGCAAACCAACCCACAGCTATACTTCCTCCCTCATCAATGCGTCCATGGATTTGGGTCGGGTCGGGGTCCCCGGAGCCACGGGTCCCCCACCCGTGAATCCCAAAGAACGAAAGAAGCAAAAGCGCGAAAGCAAGAAAAATATCAAGCTCACCATCCACATTGCCGCGATCCTTGCCCGCCAACAGTATATTATGCAGTTGTGTCGTGCTCTAATGAAATACGGCGCCCCAACCCACCGCCTCGAAGAGTACATGATGATGACTTCCAATGTACTGGACATCAAAGCCCAATTCATGTACATCCCAGGATGCATGTTCATGTCCTTCGACGACCCGCTAACCCGCACCGCCGAGGTAAAGATCATCCGCGTAGTGCAGGGTCTAGACCTCTCCCGTCTCGCAGAGACACACACCATCTACAAAAACGTCGTCCACGATGTCATCGGCGTTGAACAAGCAACCCATGACCTCGATGAGATCATGCAGCGCAAACCACGTTACAACCGGTGGCTTCTCATCTTCCTAACCGGCTGCGCCAGCGTCGCCGTCGGCCCATACGCCTTTAGCGCCCGCCCCGTCGACCTACCCATCATCTTCGTACTAGGCTGTCTAGTAGGCTTCATGCAGTACGTCATCGCGCCAAACTCCGCAACCTACTCAAACGTGCTAGAAGTCACCGCCGCGGTCCTCACCTCCTTCATCGCGCGCGCGTTCGGCAGCATCCAGCACAACGGCGAGCGCGTCTTCTGCTTCTCAGCCATGGCACAGTCCTCGATCGCAATGATCCTACCAGGCTTCGCCGTGCTGAGCAGTAGTCTAGAGCTACAATCACACCAGATGAACGCCGGCTCGATCCGTCTCGTCTTCACCATTATCTACTCGCTCTTCCTCGGGTACGGCGTTACCGTCGGCACGACAATCTACGGGCTGATGGACCGCAACGCCACGAAGGAGTCGACATGTTCGAATCTACCGGAGGTCTGGGGGAACGAATACATCCAGCATTTTCCCTTCGTTGCGCTGTTTTGTCTCTTCGCTGCGCTGATCAACCAGTCCAAGCCGAAACAGTTGCCGGTTACGATCTTCATGGGTGTTTGTGGCTATGTCACGAATTACTTTAGCACGAAGAAGCTCGGCTCGAATCAGGTCGCTAATACAGTGGGCGCGTTCACCATTGGCCTTCTGGCGAATTTGTATAGTCGGTTGTGGCATGGTCATGCGGCTGCTGCTATTATTCCGGGTATCTTTACCCTCGTTCCATCGGGTCTTGCGTCTAGTGGGTCGATTATTTCTGGATTGGAGTATGCTGATGCCGTTGCCTCGGGTAATGTCTCTAGTACTACTACTAGTGCGACCTCTAATAGCTCGCTGACCTCGCTGGGATATGGTATGATCCAGACGGCTATTGGTATTTCCGTTGGGCTGTTTATCTCCGCTTTGATTGTTTACCCTCATGGGAAGAAGAGGAGTGGGATCTTCAGTTTGTAGATTCGGACGTGTACATGTATCTTTTTGATCTAGCGATATATTCTGTCTGTTTATACTGTATCATTTGCATTAGCGTGTTCATCTTCGAAAGAGCGGAGAAAGCATTCTATTTTTACACCAACAGACATACTACATATTTCCACACATCGTTATATACACTACTAACACCAATTTCAGTACCCAAAATCACAAGGTCAAAATAGCTCCTAAGAAAGCAATCCAGGCCGGTAAATCCGCAACAATCATCCGAACCCGGTGAACCCCGACCCAACGCGCCATATCAACCGACGCGCCAACCCCACTCTCCCCTAAATCCTCCTTAACGCCAACATCATCCACAATCCTCTTAACTGGGCCGACGACAAACGGCACGAAAACAAGATGTCCGATCGCGCCCGCCAGCCCGATCCAGTAAAATGCTGTCGTCTGCAGCGGCTTGCGCGGGTAATAGCGATTCAAGAAGAGCGTGCCAGCGGCTGAGGTTATCGTGCTCAAGTTCAGGGCGAGCACTGTCCATACTGCGCGATTGAAGACATGGGAGTACCATTTTGGTAGGATTTTGTCGGAGGTGGGTTGGAGCGAGGGGAGGAGGAAGCCGGTGGTGGTTGTTAGTTCTAGGAGGGCGTGTGCGAGGGTTCCCGTGCTTGTTGCTAATGGGAGGGTTTGGAGGAGGAGGTGGGGGTTTAGAATTAGACCCGAGGCCATTTTGGTGATTTTTGGTAGGTGGTAGAATTTAGATAGTTGGGTAAGTAAGGGTATGAGGGTATTTAAAATATCGTAGAATATTAATACTATGAAGTTGGCCGGGGACTTTGGGGCTGAATTGGCCAATCTTCGGATTTGGTGGAGACGAGTTGTTCTACACTCTATCGATGCAAGTTCACTGGCGTTCTTTATAAAACATTGAAGCCTGTTCGTCATTCCTGTTTGTCTGCTGGTCACATAAATTCTTCTTTCACTGTCAAACGTTCTTTTAACATACTCGATCTGATCTCTCAACTATGTTGTATATTATATCCTCGGCACCATTGCTCCACTTTCCACCTTCATCAACCCCCAATATTCTGGTATCAACGCCAAACATGAAAACCACAGGCTGCCTATTTAACTTATCATTGTCGATCTTTCAACCATCTTCTTACTTTCTCTTGCACCTATCTTTCAGCAAGATCATGCACAGGAGGAAGGATGTCCCACAAGTCTCCAGGGTTGATTCTTGGACCAGGAGGGACCTTGATGTCTAATGCGAGAAGAAAGGAGATATCGCTGTTTCCCTCAACAGGTAAGGTGCACATACTAAGCGAGAAGCCTAAACAGAAGTCACACTTCTAACTATCCAAAATAGCGAATGGGAACGCGCAGGCCGGAGGTATTCGTTGGATAATTCCAAAGAGCAATACATATCCTGGGTTCAAACCTTGCCCTTAAGCGGTCAAAACTACACCTCGATCAATCGAATGGAAGCTCCAAGGAATACAATACACCACACCGACGACCCAGCCCCATGGGCTAGCCTTCGCGCAAGGTAGAGCCAGTTCCTCTTCGACTGGGAATTGTGGAGGCTGATACTCCATTCTGGTTCGATGGGTTTCGGAGGCCCTTGGTTTTCTTGGAGATTCTCTTATATTTCCTTTTTACTCTACCTTGACTGGGTCGTTGTGAGACGAGTTTGTTTCGGCGATGTTGTCGAATCCAGTGCTAGGTTGCCGACTGCCGTCGAAACAATCACGGATCAGATCCCAATACAGGGCAAACTCGACAGGCTCTTCACCATTATCATCAACCTCGCCAACAGTCGCACCAATATGGTTGTCGATGGGAAAACAAAAACTGCTGAGCTTAAAACAAAACCGAAAGCTCATGACAGTTACCAGCAATGCGCTCGGGGACCAAGAAGACAGACTGAAAAAGCGCGGCTCGCAGACCTCGTGCTGTTGAACACAATGCAGTGGGCACACAACTGGGAATTGGCCGTGTCTGAGACACACCCGATATCAAGGAAACTCGAACTCATTCGCCTTGGACCCCTAGACATGGTTTGAGTCGGATAATTCCAGAGAAACAAATATCCAGGATTAAACTTTAGCCTCAAACACCACCCGGTTAAAACGAGGTATTAATACAGGGATGAGGTACACCGCCGCCGGTACAATACCGAAGAACTAAACCCGTGTCAAGAACTACCTCCTAGCAAGCAGCAACTGCGCTGAATTGTGGAATAGGATATCAACACCTCGACCCGCTTCATCTTTACGATGGCTCGCTATCGCGGAATGCCATAAGAGAGAATGCAGTTAACGACTTTGACCTTGAGTTTGAAGATGCCCTTCAGGAAGTTCAACTTTCCGGTGCATTTCTGGCAGATAACACTGGCTACCGCAAAACAAACAGAGCTTGCTTGCGGCACTGCTTTTTCCCATATTCGCTGGATGCTGAATCCATATGCAAAAGCTCCTGGCCACCATTTTTGAGAGTGTCGAGCTTCCAACGTGTGGGCTTTTATACATGATTTAAGTGAGTTGATTCTCTTTCCTATTCACGTGGTCTGTATCTGTTGAGGAGTGTTGCTGAGAAAATATTTTGAAGAAGTGGAACATGGCCCTTGAACTGGGAGTTCTGCCACAACACCTCCCATTTGAATGTGTTCATATCGCAGCAGCAATGGAAATGGTCATTGGGAACATGGATGACGAGCTGCTGCTTATGTGCCGGAAGAATATCCAGAAAATCATAACGATGAAGAGCTTTACTCTCGAAAACACTCCAGGAAGAAGAAAGAGCCTGAGGAGAAACGCATCTGGCCCAGATACCTACCTGAGAGATCGGGGCTTACTGAAGGGGTTTGCTCAACAACTGACTCGGATTCTCTCCGGCTTCCCTACCTAGCAAAAGCAGAAATCTCTGAAATCGGCCACTGATGATTGAGTCACCATTCAGACGTGAGTCTTACCCAAGAGTCTTAGACATGAAGCTCAATTGGCATACTGATAAAACGCCCTTTCTAGTGTAAAATCGTCACAATGGTTGGGCACCCGATCTTCCTGCGTGAAGCAGTTGAAAGTGGTTTTCCTGTACTTCTTCTGGCCAATAACAGGACCAAATACTCGGAAATGCATGAGTTCACCTGCGTTGGCCCTCTACATCAATATCAATGGTTGATTTTCATGGCAAATGTCAAGGCCAGCATGCCCGCACGTTGATCCCCGATCATTACTGAGAATAACCTTCGATCCCGTGACATTAGACTGGAGGAGGTATATGTCGCCGATGAAACGGGCCTTCAGGGACGATTCGAATATTCCAAGCTTTGGAGGGTCTTCAGGGACGAAAATGTGGACATTCGGTTTGCTGACTTCAAGTCAGCTGGGAATGGCTATAGTAAGTTGCACAGACATTCCTCTGGTATCATACACTGACGTGATTGAGATATTGCAGGTGGGGGTATATATTACCCGCTTGCGAGGCGATCAACGATTAAGGAGGAAGGGTAAGAAGCGGAGAGAGTGATTTCAAAGCTTAATATCCGGCTTCGAACGCCTACCCCCCCCCTCTAGTCGGGGTAGTAATTAGGACCCCCAAACCCCTTCGAACTACGTCTAATTACAAAAGCAAGCTTCGTCAATTAAAGCATTGCTTCATATAAGATCAAGGAGCCCTCTAAGTCCTCTAAATTCCGCTATAAACTAGGTTTTAAAGGCATACTAGATCACTATACAATCCGCCGCCAACGAGAAGTAGAAGCAGAAGCGTGCTAGATCCCGGAGGCAGATACCCGCCGAAGAAGGCCTCTTAGTTCAAGAAGCTTCTCAATTGATTACTGAGCCGGTGGAAGCTGATGAAACACCTCCCTCCCCTCCCCGAAGAAGCCCTTCGCCGGCTTTGGAACCACGTGTACGGGCGCTAGCGAGGTGTAGTGGGTGTAGATCAATAGGGCATAAATTCAATAGATGCCCAGCTAGATAGATGATTTTAGTATATTTAATTTAATGGCGTTTTGGTTGAGATAAATGCATTTAATTTTCATACATGGAGGTGGGGTGGCGGCTCGTTTACAATGGCGACTCGTTTACCGGTTACGTTAAGTTCCTGGAAGGATTAACTATATAGCAAAGAGGGCTTAATCACGTGAACAAAGACACGTAATGGCAACAGCCTAGGCGGTAAACAAGCTGTAGCTCATCACGGCTCAAGACCGAAACCTTGGAACTTACGACACTTCGACCCTTTGTCGTCGAGCAGCAACGATAATTAATCAACCCCCCAGCAACCAGCATAATGGCAACTCCGATGGCATCTCCGATCCGCCTATCCCCACACGTTCAGTGTATCCAACAAAGCTCACCCTACACCAACATATATAGTAATGCGCCTGTCAGTCCGCTTCGCGCCCGAGAAAACACCCAACACTTACGGGATATGCTCCCCCATTCCCACCCAGAACAAAAACGCTGGGAAAATCCCGGCGGCTGGGGTGCACGTCACTTGAATGACATGGCGCCGTTCACGCTTTGGGACGAGCAAAGCCGCAAGTTCCGTCACCCTTCACGTCAGGACTGGACCTGGATCCGTAGCAAGTTCGGGGAGGGAACAGTGCACATCTCCGGGTGGCTTATTTGTGTAGAGACGGCCTCTCCACCCCAGCCAATACCACTGACCCTTGGAACGATGCCTATCATATTCGTGCGCCCCGGTGAGATGTTTAGGGAACCAATTCCCTCATCTGGATATTCGAATCATCGTGTTTCCGATCCCTGTCCCACTGTCCGGTGGCCCAAATTGACCAATCCGACTAAGCGTCAGACAGTGGCTGTGCTTACTGCTATCGCGCCACTTGCTTGTGTGAGAGCTGCTATTTTTCTCCCGGCTTGGATTATCTTCGAACTTGAGTTTGGAGATGGCCGGAGCTACGAAAAGCAATCACTTCCCGGGGTCGTGGCAGGCCGAACAGCACTCTACCACCATGGAGATGAACCGTTTTCTAACACCATGAGAAGCCTTACCCGCCCTCGCTTTATTGACCCATCCCAGGTATCGGCTGCTGGTGCTGCACCACAAGATGACTCAAACTACCTTCGGCGGTCGGTTCTTACACCAGGATGTAGAATCGAGAGTGGTTTGGGGCTACCAAGTGCCCCAGCCGAATTCACAAACGCTGCAACCACGTGTGGTATCAGAATCCGCAATCTCGCGGGCGAAGAAATGCTGACAGTCGCCAATCATGGTTTTCTCTCATCAAAGGAAGTATACCACCCATCTGTGAATGGAGGAGATCTTATCGGCGAGGTCGTCGATGCCCGACCTGAGCTTGACATCGCTCTCGTCAAGCTAACACCCGCTGCCTCATCTAGCTTCACTAATTCCTGCTACTTTCAAGCTGAACCACCTACTCGCCTCCTAGAGATGTCCCAAATGTCCCAAGGCTCATGGAGTGAAGTGGACGGCATGAGTTCAGGGCTCTTTAGCATGATGAATATTGGCACGCAAGCCATGAAACCGAAACGTCCAGTTGGCCATCCCGAACTCGAATTTGAAGAATGGGATACAAGATCGGTGGATTTCCTTTTTGGGAATGTTAATGCTAGGGCTATCTCTGATGGTGTGTGCGGCGCTCCAATCGTAGACGTTGAATCAGGTGGGGTATCTGGCTTTTTCCATCTGAGCGATGGGGTCTTTGCTTACAGTGCTGTCCTTGATGATCTGGTGGCCGAGGGATGGGGATTAGTGTGAATGTGGAGTTCTGAGCTATTATCGCCGGATGCTTTAGCATCTTCGGGAGACTTGCCGCTAGCTCGCTATTTTGATTACCTTTTACACACCTCTTACGAGTTTTATTCATGTATTATTAGCTGCCGGTGACCTAGAACATACCGCAAAGCATGCTTTTTTTTACCGAGGACGAAGCCCATGATGAATGAAAGTTGCGATAGGGGATAGGGAATGGAGGGAGCAATGCTACCTACGTATGCCCTGGAATCTGCTATACAATGCCTTCGGTAACCATAGGGATCTGGCACCTCGGCAGGACGCAGCAGAATGCCTAAAGTACGCCGGCCGCTATGCAGATAAAGGACTAATAAAATCGACGACACCAAACGAAGCACTTCGCCATCGGAGACAAGGTCCTCCGAATCGGGCGTGGTTACAACATCCCGATCAACGATGCGATCTCCCGCAAGCTAGGACAACAGTACGCCGGCCTATTCACGGTTGTTGAACGACTTGGTCGTCTAGCATACCGATTGCAACTCCCACCTACATGGAAGATTCACTCAGTCGTCAGTGTTTGCGTTCGATTCGCTCGGCAAGCTCTCTCTGCACAACATACCAAAGGGTGCAGGTGCTATCGATATTCCCGATGCGCTCCAGATGGAGCCGAACCTGTTTGCATGACAGGCAGCTCTATCTGGAGTCGTATTTGGCTGCGGCTCTGGCCCGAGGTGGCGGCAGGCTAGCTGGGAAAAAGTGGAAGGTAGACAATGGTGACGCGGGTGCGGGTGCTGCCCATCCCCTGGTGGGAATCACGCCCACCCCTATGTCAGCAAATCATGGCGTATGGTACCTTTCACCCTTGCCGAAACCCACTCGGCTCTGGTATGATGGAGTGGGCGCTGTGGCGGCGTTTACGGACATCGAAGAGGCTCGTGCGCATTTGAACTTCGAACTGCAGAACCAACATGGATGTTCTTCGGCCTGGACCGCTTCATTAGATGAGCTTCTCCACTGATGTGACTTCGACTGGGCCGAAAATCTCGAAGACGCTTCGGTCAAGGCTGATTTACCTATGGCCACAAAAAGTTCCTTGCTTGCTCTTTTCTTAAGACAGACTGGTACGATGAATTGTTTTCGACTCACAATCATGTACCAGCCCTAAATTGAAAGGTAGTTACCCCCGTAGCAGGGGTTTGAAGGCCGTACAGGAGTGGATATCCTAAAAAAAACCGGTGGAAAAGAAGAAAAGAAGTGAATTACGGAAGAAGGGATAGAAAGCCTTACTAACCACAACTATATAGATGCTCTGCGGCTTTGTGTCAGAAAAGGATAAAATTGAGTCATACAATGAGTAATAAAAGCTGGGCGTATCGAATCCTAATTCTGCAATCTAAAATCATACTGCAATGAAACATCATAGATCCATCAAATATCTAACAACAGCCTGTCCATATCCACTACTCGACTTAGTTCTGCCGCAGTCTCCTTCCACACCTGAGTCTGCATCTTTCGACCATCATCACTGTCCCCATACCCTGCAAATGGAGCCATCTTACAATCACTCAGATATCTACCATCTGAGCTCTCGCCAGCCAGTACTGCCGCATGAACAAGGGTCCGAGCGCCCATAGAGAGAGAGCGACCCACAACCCTCTTCATGCCAGAAAGGACCCCGCTAAGGGCTCCCTCAGCCGTGCGATGCAACTCAGATCCATAGCATAAACCAGGGTTGACAAGATTAAGAATCGCACCCTGGAAAACAGATCTATGGCTACGAACAAGCTGGAGGAAAAAGAGCTGGTAGAGTAGCTTCGACGTGAAGTATCGATCACCCATGTCAAAATTAGCCTTATCATCCAACGCCTCGATGAGAGAAACACCCTTCGCAGTGGAGATCTGGGATTCTTTGAACTTCGCCCAAGCGGCAGTCTCGCTACCAACGATTGAGATCACAGGGCGGGGACGTGTAGGATTGGCCACAGCCTGTTTGTTGAGATCAGAGAGGAGAAGCAGAGTAAGAAGAGAAGTTCCCAGCCAGTTGATCTGGATACTCGACTCGTGCGATGTCGATGGAGTCTGGGTGTAGTTGAAGTTGGCAACACCGGCATTGAGAAGAGCGAAATCGATGTAGATGCCCGATTCCTGAAGACGGTTGATAAAGCTGGTGATGCTGCCATAGTCTGCCAAGTCTAATTCCCAGACTTCAACCACTGGAGGCTTGGTAGACTCGGGGAGCGAGGCGAGGAGGGAGGTGCGCGCTATTTCACCCTTTGAGAGGTTGCGTACAGCTAGGATGAGATGCGTGAGACCAAGCTTTAGTAGCTGGGCTGAGACTTCGTATCCCAGACCAGTGTTTGAGCCTGTCACAATGCCGGCCTTGCCTTGGAGAGAGGTACCGGAGGGTGCCTTGGGAGGGCACACTAGGAATTGGCGGTATAGGAAACCGGGGTAAGAATTGTAGAAAGACATCTTGGTGTTATTAATAAATATGGCAGTATATGATTTTAAATATGCATCTAGAGAGGGATAGAGAGCGTATAAATAGTTGAATGGCACATCTACCTCCCGAGCTATATAGAAAAATCGACGGTGCCGTTCTCGACTGTGATTGGCCGATCGGGCTTAAGCTTGATGTCCGAGAAATCGACGGTGCCGTTCTCATCTTCCGTCTTCGTCGCACACTTGATTGGATTGATTTCTACCATGATCTCGGAGTTTATCCCAGAAACAGTCGTTCCAGTACAGCTATTACGCTATATCCCCGTGCATCGGGTTTTAATTTGCCTGCACTGCCGGTATGCCATTCAACCAGGGGCTATCGTCCGCCATCTCAAAGAGATCCACCATTTAAAGCGCTTGCGACGTCGAGCATTTGTTGAATATGCCTCTCAATTTGAGTTAGCAGACATTGGCTCTATAATCTTACCAGATGAGACCCAGTTTCCGGTGGACTCGCTACCGATCCTCGACGGGCTGGCCTGTCGCTTTGAGGGGTGCGGTCACCTATGTGCCACCATCCAGCGAATGAAGGCGCACTGGTCATCTGTGCATCATCTTAGCCCTAGAAATGGTGGAAACTGGTGCTCAGTGCCTCTGCAGACTTTCTTTCGGGGAAATGCCTTGCGGTATTTTACAAACCCGGCGCTCTTGGCGTCGTTGACTGATAGTTCAGAAGAACCGATGAGCGCAAGCGAGGTATCTTCAATCACTGTAAGTAGACGAAGGTAACCTTTTCAAAATAATTGCTTTAACTGTCATTTGCAGACTGTTACCACCCCGAATTCAGGTGAGGGGCAAGGATTATCAAGTCTAGTCGCCTATGAAAATAACATATCGTTGAGCGTTGAGGACATGCACCTCTTCGATCATTATCTGAACCACACATATAAAACAATATCATGTGGCCCAGAAACGGACGGTCTCTTCCGCATTATTGTTCCCCAAATAGCCGCCAGATTCCCATTCCTGCTTCACGGCATGCTAGCCTGTTCAGCGCTCCACCTGGCTTCCAGTAACCCCCCAAATCAAAGATCATATACGCTCCAGGCAATCCAACATCAAGATCGGGCACTTCCAGCATTCCACCTGGCCACTATGCATGTCGACAGCAATAACTGTCAAGCAATACTGGCCTACGCATTCTTCCTAGTCGTTTATGGCCTCAGCTCCGAAAGTGAAGATGAGACACTGTTCCTCAGTAATAACGAGCAAAGAAGCTCGTCTTTGAACTGGATTAGTCTTTTGCGCAATGGTTGCTCTATGCTGTGTGATGTCTGGTCTGAACTAAAACAGGGGCCATTGGCTCCTTTCGCAGCACTATGGCGGGATGATATCGGCGTCACTGCTGACCCCAATGATCCCTTACTTGTATCTTTGCTGTCTGCCATTTCAGAGTCCAGTGAAGCTGTCCCTAGTGTCCAGAGATATTCGGATAGTGATGTGTATATATACCGCGACGCAGCTTCTAAGTTAGCCGAAGCATTCGAGTTCACCCGACGATTTGGCGCGTCTCTGAGTGTTTGGGATGCTCTGAACTCATGGCTGACGCAGGTTTTGCCCGAGTACTTTGATTTGTTAGATCAGAATCATTCTGGAGCCTTACTACTCCTAGCTCATTATGCTATATTGCTGAAGCCACTCCAAGCAGAATGGTTTCTGAATGGTTGGGTTACGAAACTGATGGATGGAATTGGGCGAAGGCTGGAGGGAAATTGTTCACTCCAAATTTGGAAGTTGTTTTTGATTGCTCGCCGGGAATTTGTTTCTTGATGAGTATTGCGGTCATTGAATACATATCACTGAAAGTAGATTATTTGGTGCATTAAGTCGTATTCGACCGCAATTTAATCTATCGGGTCGAGGGGCCGTATAAGCCACAGAATTACCCCGCGGTGATCTGCCTAAGAACGAATTAGCTGACAACTTCGACATTGAATCACCTCAGCCCGACCTCCAAGGTTATGAAAACTAAATCGATTCCCAACGTCAAAAATGGTCGCTCCCACAGACCAGTCCTCCGCCATTTGCAATAAGGCGATCCGAAAGTATTACGAAATCACCGGGGAGACTCTTGCGGTCGACTTCCTCACAAATATTCGAAGTGTCAGTGATCTCACGAAAGAAATTGACGAGAAGAACATCGCTTTCCGAGAGTTCCGCGAAAAACGAGAGGCTATCTTCGATGTTCTCGAAGCGGCCCTAATTCCCGTGCAGTTGTTCAGCAACCTCGCGGTTGGGGAAGCGGCGTCGATGGTATTTCCACCTAGTAGTCTCATCTTTGGAGCCGTGATGCATTTGGTTGGTGCTGCAAAGGGAGTATCGACCTCGTATGATGCGATTGAAGACTTGATGCAGATGCTGCAGGTACGATCTAGCTACATGCAGATAAAGACATGGGAAAGGATAGAGCCCTGAACAAAACTAGGATTTCACCGTCCGACTGAGTACATACACACAAGAAGCCATTTCTGAGGCTCTAAGCGACAAGCTGAGCGATATCATTGTTACCCTGATCGAGATTTTTGCCCTGTCATCCAAGACGATCCGACGGGGCCGACTACTTAAGTACGCCCGGAATATTCTATTGGGTAACGATGATGCCATTGGAGCCGCGATGGTCAGACTTGATAAGCTCACCCAGGTCGAGGCCAAGCTAGTTGGAGCTGAGACCTTGACCGAGTCGAAGAGAGCCGGCCGTGTAGTGGATGGTATATCTATGACCATCAACGCCACCAATGCGAAAGTTCTGGAAACTGGGATGACGGTCAACCAGACGAGTGCACAGATATTTGAAGTGCAGGGGATGCTAGAGAAGTTGATAGCCTCCTCGAACGAGGAAAAGCAGGATACCGGCGAGGATCAAGAAGTCCTGCAAACGCTCATTAAGCACGTTCTTAGGCCATCCATGGTTGATTCAGCGCAAGAATGGTTCGATAAGATCCACAAGGCGCGTTTACCGGGCACAGGAGATTGGGTTCACACGAATGATGTCTTCCAATCCTGGATCAATAAGGAAACTCCGGTCATTTTCATGTCAGGAAATCCGGGTTCGGGCAAGTCGTTTTTGGCGGCAAACATGATCAATTTCCTTCTTGAGCGGTTTCCCCCTGGCCTTCAGCGCAACCCGTTGGTCTCCATCGGCTACTTCTTCTTCAAGGACGACAAACCCCAGACAAGGTCCTGTCATCAGGCTTTACGAGACCTGGCTTTTCAAATCAGCAAGAATGAGCCAGGGTACCGAAATTATCTTCGGTCTATCGAGGAATATGAGCAGATTAGCACTCTTGAAAGCGCGTGGCGTCTCCTTTTCGTTGAATACTTTTTGAAGAAACCCAATATTGAGAGCACCGTATATCTTCTGCTAGATGCAGTGGACGAAACTCTGGATGAGGAGCGGGGGATCTTCATCGATCTTGCAAAGCAGTTGTATAGCAGCCAGTCGTGCTTGCAGCTAGCCATCGTTGGCCGACCTTATATTAGTGACCAATTGCTCGAAGGCTTGGAGGCTAAGGTTCCAACCATTCATGTCACCAAACAGAAGAACTCTGGCGATATTACTCGGTATATCCACTCCAGCATCAGAAGATCCCTAGTTTTGCGAAGGGTCTCGACAAATCTACGAAATGAGATAATCGATAAACTGTCGGCTGGGGCGGAAGGCATGTTTCTTTGGGTGAACCTCATGCTACAAGAGTTAGCTAAGAAGCGAAATGAGACCAGTATGCGGAAAGCACTGGAGCAGGCTCCTCGGGGGCTTAAGGAGATGCTCCGACATGTCTTGGCCACATTCTCTGAGAGATCTCACGAGGAGGAGCTCGAGTATCTCAATGAAACCTTGCTCTGGGTTACCTGCGCGGACCAACCGTGGACACTGGCCGATTTAGAGGCAATCCTCAGATTGAGATCACCCGAAGGGGATGGCATGATTGACCTCGAAGGAGCCCTACGGCGCCAGTGGGCGTCATTCTTCACCCTGGACCGAGAGGATGGCCTTACCACTGCCGAACTAGAGAATGGCTCAGCAAATATGGACGTGTTCGACTGGGACGGCAACCAGGAAAAGCAGGATGCATATGATAGCTCCTACGACGACTATTTCGTGGACTTCAACTCAAAAAAGCGTACAACTACTGTCACCTTCTGTCACGCATCCATTGGCGACTTCCTCCGCGATGAGTCGGAGGGCAAGGTGTGTGCTACAGGGGACCGCATTGGTGTCGGTGTAAACTACCACGAAGCCAAAGCTCATATCCTCAAGACCTACTTAAGGCTAATCACCAATGCCGACTTTGCAACAAAGGCCAATAATTCATACACGCTCGAACATACTGCACGGAATTGGTGCGATCACCTGCTCACGACTATCCCGTCCAAGTGTTCGCCAGAAAATAGACGAGAAGTTATGAAAATGGTATTGATAGCTTTTCGATCGGAAGAATCAATATCCCGCTGGATTTGGGGGAATGTATTGGCTCTTTCTACAGCTACCATTAAAGCCGTTCGTCAATGGTGGCAAGATCAAGACGTCCGCGAGTTTCTATCTCTGGAAGAGAAGGAATTTATCTCAACAACGGAGGGGAATCCAGTTAATTTATTCAAACCAGTGGCAATGTTCTGCGTCAAGGCCTGGCTGCGGGAAGACCTGGCTAGTCCTGGTCTCATGGCCTCTATAGTCTGGCGGTACCAAATGTTGGTCAAGGGCGAGGAGGTCCATGATGAATGTAGGAATATAACGGTGGCAGAACTGATTGAGGCCGCTGAGTTTGGTGGCCCCGAGAAGACCAGCCAGTGGTTTCAACAATGCGCAATCGCTCTGCGTGAGTCGGGGTACCAATCGGAGTCCCTGCGTTATTTCAACAAGGCAATGGAACTCAATGCGGATAATTGGCGGATCCTGTGGGAGCTAGCACAAACATATCATTGGGAAAATGATTGGCAGAAATCCATTGAGCTGTCGGAACGGGCACGACTAAGTTTGTTGACCACAATTTCCGAGTCATCAGATGGCGGGCCACTGAAAGAACATCTGCATAGGTGCCTGGAGCATATGGGCCGGGTTTATGAAGAACAAGATGACCAGGAGAAACGATTCGAGGTCATCCAAGAGGCATATCAATATGCACCCTCTTGCTGGAATTGTCTCGAGGCCCTTCTGCAATACCATAACGACAATGGAGCCTACGAAGTCACCATGGAATTGTTGAAGAGGATAGCAGAAGAACCGGCTCGCGAAGAAGATTCCTCGGAATTAACTCAATTCTTCCTAGGCAGCGTATTTGGTGTGGACAGGAAGGCCAGGCTTGCTGCCGATGCCGCATTGGCCACCGATGATCTTAACTTCGTATTGGAGAGCCTGCAGACGACGGCCAAGGTAGCTCGAACAGAATCGAGGACGTTGATTGCTGCAGAGGTCGACATGGCTATCGCTCGAATCTATAATGAAATCCTTTTTGACCACCCGAAGGCAATCAGGTGCTGGGAGAATATTATGGATACGTACTCTTCTTCTTCCCCCGGGAGCTTGATAGGGACTATTAGGCAGATCGCCTGCTCAAATCTGGCTCACACGTTTCTCTGTGACGCAGTCGAAGTTGGAGTCGACACACCAGAGGCAGAAGAATCTGTGGCCAGACTTGAGCAGCTCGCTCATGAAAGCCAGAATTATCTCTCAGAAAGCTGCGCATTCGTGCCAGACGTATACTTGGGCATCTACTACCGCCTCCGAGGGCAAGCCGAGCGGGCGAAGGCTCTCTTCCGACCCTCCCTACAACGAAGCGTTCAAATCCTGCGCGATGATAATCCTACGAACGATAGTCTTTCCGCCCTACGCTATACTCTGATGAGAGCGGGAGACTTTGAAAATGCTGTTTCAATTGCCTACATGTCGGAACAGGACGGCAGCGACTCTTGGTATATGTGTCGCGGCCCATGCCGGCGAAAGGTACCTACTCGGAATGGGTTTTCTATCTGCCTCATCTGTTTGGAAGAATTGTGTTCGAACTGCGTGAAACTAAAGGAGGGCACTCCCAAGAAGAGATGTAATTCTCAGCATGTTGAGTACTTTATCTCCATTCCCCCGCAGATAGAAAATATTTCCGGCGGCAGCATGCTGGTGGACGACAAGGTGATGGAGTTTAAGACGTGGTTGAATCGGTTGAAGAAAGAATGGGCTCTTGGTGATTGCAAACCCGATTGCACTGAAGCCCCCCATTTGGATATCGGTGACTTTCTAGCAGCCTGTGTAGAGTATTTCTAGCTCAACTTACAAGAAAACCTCCTGCTGCCAGCGGTGATGGCAATTGTATATATTAGTGGCAGAATAGCACAATAGCTGCAGTGCGTGTTACAATGAAGAAAGTAGACGAGAATTCAGGGGGAGTTTGTTTCTCCATAGCTATATTAATAGTCTCTTCCCTTCCCCCTTTCCTATATAATTTCTTCTTTCTCCACACATCAGCAGTGTTTTCAAGCTTTCTCCTATTCCCCATCAGCTCCACTGGTCTCTACCATCTCAATATGGGGGAAACTAAACGGGAAATAGAGACATAGGCTCTATTTGCGCTTGAAAAAGAAATAGTCAGTCTGGTGATACTGCATACTCGACCTCGGCCGGAGACGCGGCACATTCCACCCCGAATAAACGGAAGCTCACAAGCACACCTGCTTCCGCAAAGAAAAAGAATAAGCTTTTGAGCATTTTTCTATTTTGGTGCCTGTTTAATCATATTAACGATTAATCTTCGCTGGATATAGGGTCTTAAGGGATGATAACGCACATGATTGAGCTCCATCGCAAGCATTAACGGCTACCTTGACAAGCTCCTGCAAGTTGAACTTCACGTAGCGATTTGAAAGCTCATTCTTCTCATTAAAACTGCAATTTTGTCTTAAATAAACCTTGATCTAAACATTGTTGACGTAGCTTAGCTTACAGCCATCGGTGCCTGGTGTAACGGAACAGGTCTTCTTCAGATGTTTTCTACTCTAGTTATTAAACCCGTTTTAGTAATTCGATGTACTTGAATATGGCAAATATCAAGGGAAATCACCTGTGCCATTCGGCCTCTCCACGCAGAGCTCAGGATAGTAAAATGGTCGGTTTCGCCTATCCGACCGGAGATGCGAAAAAAATCTCATATTCGCTGGTGGACAGTGGAGGAAAGCGGTTGACGATAATCTCTGATTCGCGTTCCAAGCCGCTCTCAGGGGTTTGTTGATGACCATACCAATGGTGGTTTCATGGATAATGCGTCGTTTGCAAAGATGCCGGGCCGATGCCTTCACGGAGGACTGGGAGAACGTGTTCCTGTAGCAGCAGGCGCTTAGAAGTGGTCTCTGCTACAGCGTTCCGGCCAATAGTCTAATATCTATTCTGGGAAGGGAATAGTGCTGGCGCGAACGTAGAAGAGCTGGCAATGCATTTATGGCCATCCAAAGTACTAGTTATGGATAGGCGAATTTCCTTTTTTTTCTTTTTGCTGGGACGACTTTGTATCGGCGAAACGAGGCCCACTGTATCAAAAACCTGCAACGTCCATCTGGAACTTCAAGCCAAGGACAAGGAATACCAAGCGAGGCAGAGCATGGAAGATCTTCACAGGAGAGGTCGCTAAACCAGGTTCCACTCTAATGCCCAGGGGTCACACGCTGAACCCTCGGAAATCAGGCAACCATGCGCGATATTGGGGAGTAATTCTATGTCGTCCAGCCTGTCGAATACGAGGTTGAGATGAATTCAGCGTCGGCTGGAGTAACTGCCCAAACCCAGGGAGCTTCAAATCCTCATCTTGCAAAATCTGGCGCCTGAAACTCCTACTATCGACCAAGAGTATTGTAAAATGCCGAAATTTACAAAGTAACTATCAAAGGTACAACACCTTCACCCTCGGCCACGTTCTGCGCGACGCGTCTGTTGCAGATCTGGTCTTCCTGCAAAATTCCCGGCAATCCCGTGCCGAACGGCATCTGGTACGGTCTAGAATGCTCTAGACTCAACACCTGAAACTGGCTATTATTCTTCAATTGAGTGAGGTTGATCAATACTAAACTGCTTATTGTCACGTCAAGCTATAAAGGTGCGACCCAGGCAGTACGGAACCCCAAACTGATCCTTTTTTTCCCACATAAACCTTGATGTTTTCCTTATAAGACCACGATGGTCACAATCAGAAACCTTGTCAACAATATACCGACCGACTTTCCTGAAGATCACCCTGTCTTTATGTTCAGTCTTTTTCAATGGAACGAGCAAGCGAAATATTCAGAATGGAGTTCACACCCACCCTGCAGTGGCCAAGAAGCCTGGTTTGAGAGATTCATTAAAGAAATCAGCAGGCTCGCAACCGAGTCTGGGGACTTTAAAATTGTATATCAAGGCTCAGCCACCTCAAGCATTCTTGGTAATGAAACATGGGATTGGGTTGCTTTAGTGAAATTCACAAACATTGACACATTTCGCAACACTATTGGAAGCGATGACTATGCACCGACCACATTGGAACACTGTGACGCGGCTCTCAAAAACTGGCAGTCGCTTTTCTTCACTTCACCCAAGCCAACAAGATCTAGTACAAACTGTCAGTGAAGACTCACAAAGACCTAAATCGCGGATGCTAACTGTTTTCTGTGGGATAGTCGGATTTCGACCCCGAAGATTCTCCTTAACTGGGAGCCCGCATTAATGAAAAGAAAACTTCTACATTTGTTAAGGATCTTACTTCAAAGGGTTTCCTACTTGCGATAACATGTGGACCTACAGTGTCAGAGTGCACGATTGTGCAGAAATGCGCAAATATCCCTCCAGTTTGCTACCGATCCGACGAAAGCTTGGATTCAATTGTCACGGGTTTGACGAGAGTTGAATCCAGGTGTCCCAAGGCTTGATAATCGTTTGGATCCGACGAAAGCTCGAGATAATTCGATCGGATCTGAGGAAGAGAAACTCGTTCATTTTCTGTGATAGTGACCTTTACTTTACGTTGCCCCCTCGATACTGTAGCCGTTCTCTTACGTGCTGTTAATGGCCCACTACCCCCTGGATGGCAAGGAGTAATCTCTGTCGTATCCTACTCTACCCTATTTGTGGTGATTCTATACCTGATCAACTTACTATTTCATCCTCGGCACTCTCTAGAGCTCAACTAATCAATGTATTGAAAGGATCGCTTAACGTATTTTTTTAAGGAAACTATTAATCAGCCGAAAATATGGGTATTTCTTATCAGACCTCTGACTTCGGCCAAAAACCGATATGATCGCTCATCTTCGTAGGGGAACCTTATCCCATCGCGAACTATGGTAGCTACTTTGACTAGTCAAGGTCTAACAGGATCAGCCACTAGTTGGAACAGGTTCAACGGTTTGGCGAGACGTCCAGCTCCTAGCCTCGGCTGATCTGTTTATCGCTCATCGAAGGGCCCATTAGGACGCCGGCCGAGGCTCAGCAAATCCTGATAACTAATCGGTCCCAAGTTTGAGCCGAAAAGGGCTTGGGGTACACTACGTCACCCTCTGTAGCTTCGTTGACTTATCATGCATATCTCCTTGTACCTGCGCTTGTATCGACATCCAAAGGGATCTACAGCGGCTTCCACAAACACCTAAACATCTCTTGCCTATAAAAACGAAGAAGCCAAATGTAAAATGACCTCGTTGATTTTTTGTCAAGTAATATGCAAGAGAAGATGCCACGGAGATATGTTACCAGCCCAAGTTGAATAAGTCAATCACGGAGGCTGTCAGACTGAGGGCGTTGTTGAATAATCCGAAAAATCTGCCGAGGGCCGATCATGAATGAGCCGCGCATAAGCTCTATAAAGCTCCAGAAATCCACATAATCGAGAATCGCCATACAGTTTTCATGGTGGGCCGTCATGCAGGTTTGGATAAGGTCGCCGCTCTGAACCCGATGGTAGTGATCAGCGGGCACAGTGATCCGAACAGTTCCTTTGGCCCTGATGCCATCGGCGAGACTAAGGCGTACTTGAATTTCAATAGAGTTGTGGAGGAGTCTAACATCCCCGAAGGGTAGACAGTCAGGTTTGATGGAGATACGTCCTGCACGGCTGAACCCCGGGTCACTCTAGGGAGGAGCAGCACTTTCAAAGCAAAAGAAGTGAGTAATTGAGACAAAGCGAAGTTTCTGCTTGGGTTTGCTGTACATTGTTGCTCTTCAGTATGCTTTAGGTTTAGAGAGTAGGTTGGCAGATAAACCGATCTTATTCCGTCGACTGATGATATTTGTGCGATCTAGTCAGAATTATAGAAGAATGTATTGTCCGTCACCCAACAGGTTTCGGCTCCCATCATCTTCTGGAATGCTGAAGCAGCTGCTCGATAAATATCTTTGAAAATCGGTGATGTCAGTCTGAAGGCGAAATTTGCAAATAGCATAAACGGCAACTAGGCCCCGACAGGGCTTGAGAGGCTCTAAGTTCATTACCGAGAAACGCTGCGCCCAACAAATACGCACAATATATATATAGTTCTGGCGGCCTTCATCTGGCGAAGCGAGTTGGATTAAATACCACAACCCAACTGGGCACGGTTCGTTATTTGGTCTAGATAGGTAAATCAAAACAGCAATGGGTCAGGTTATTGACTTTCCCAAGAAGATCCGTGCTAAATGCACGTGTAAGCTTTTTGGCTGGTTTGGGTTTCCTCAGCGAGGGTAAACAAAACCGCCCTTCTTTCCACACTAAAATCATATGTGCTATACAGAGATCATCATTTAATCAAAAATCGATGCCTTCATCGAGTTCGGCTGGATATACTCTGACGCATTGCGGAAGCTAGTGAAACCCCAACGGATCTGCGCAGCCATAGCAATCTCAGTGTCTAAGTCCTTTGCGAAGGCCCATGCCAATCCACTGTCACGCTGGAAAGCACGGCCGACTAAGATGACGTCGACGTCGTCCTCATTGAGGACCTTTTCAGCAAGAACACCGCTGTTGATTGTACCAACTGCAGAGACAAGCACCTTGTCTCCAACAGCTTTCTTTACAGCCGTCGCGAATGGCACCTGGAAGCTAACACCCGATGCCACTTTCTGAGCGACGTAGACACCACCGGTACTGATATCAATCAGGTCAATCGTACCCTATATAGCGAGAGCCCTAGCAAACGCCACTATATCCTCTAGCTTCCAGCCATTTTCATTCGGCAAGCTATTCTCTAGCCAGTCGGTAGCAGAGACACGTAAGAAGACGGGGATGTTAGGTCTAACGGTATCACGGGTCAGCTAAGCGATCTCTAGAGGCAGACGGATACGGTTCTTAAAGTTACCCCTATACTCGTCGGTACGCTTGTTGGATAAAGGGCTAAGGAAGGAAGAGAATAGGTACCCGTGGGCATTGTAGATCTCAATAAAGTCGACGCTAGCAGCCAAAGCTCGCTTAGTAGCAGCCACCTAGGCGACCTTAACCTCCTAAATATCCTCTTTAGTCATCTCCTTAGGAACAATATCACTATCAGCGAAGGGAATAGCGCTCGGTGCCTTAACATTCTCCGTCTAGCCACCTACCGCATTGGTTGCGGTGACACCGCCGAGCCACGGGGGAACAGTCGAGGCTTTACGACCCGCATAGGCCAGCTGAATACCGATCTTCTGGCCCTAGCTGTAAGCAAACTCAACGACTTGCTTCAGGGGTGCGATCTGGGAGTCCTTCCATAGACCTAGACAAGCGGGTGTAATACGACCCTCCGGAACAACCCCGGTAGCTTCAATAATGATCATTCCTAGACCACGCTAGGCAATGCCACTATAATAAGCCATATGCTAGGTAGTCATATAACTATCATCGGCGCTATATTAGCACATAGGGGCCACCTAGAGATAGCAAAGTAAGTATAAATTTCGAGAAGAGCCGTATTATCAATAAGGGATAAAACGTACGCCTAGCCGGTTTTAGAATATCTAGCCTCCTATAGTAAGGGGCTGGAAGAGCTTAGGAATCGGCTTGCCGCTTATTTAGGGGTTCCGGGCAGTTCGGCGGACTTTAAGCCGGAGTAAAGTAAGAGATGCCCTCAGCGGGGTTGATAGGGATATTAGGCTAAGCTATAGTGGATAGTATACGCGAGAGGGAAAGGCGAGAGGGAAAGAATGGGAAATTTGCTATGGATAAGAATCAACTAGCTTTGACCAAATGTACTTCATCGACTATATACTTCTCTTCAAAATGATTTCTAAGCCCAAAAATGTTTTGCTCGGCCGCAATTACCCCCGCAACATCCCCCGGCAAGCCAGCTCAGCACTACAGAATAATACTTGGTTTCTAAGCAGGCCTTGATCAACCCGTAGTGACACTCATACATAGGCTTGAGTAAATTTACAATCTCATATTGAGTAATCACAAGATTTAGTTCCGAGGTATCACATTTTTCTCGTCCGTTAGACCCTAATACCATCCCAATACAAGCTTCACTTTTTCAGTGGGGATAGGGAACAAAAAATAAACGCACCACGTTTGGTCCGGTTAGATTGAATTCCGTTGGTGACAGGGACCTTTCTATTGGGGGGAGGGGCTTGATTACCTAGCCACCGCAACTATGAATGAGGGTGTAGAAGAAGAATTAGCATTTTAGCGGATTGGTCCCGTGTAGAATGGTTAGTACGAATAGGTACAGTTAATCGTAAGTTCATCAATTAGCCGAGGAATGACCACAATTCGGATTATTAAACATGTAACTTTCTCGGCCATGATATCGGGAAATGGAATTGAGTGACAAGGGACCCTAAAACGTTAAGCCCATTCTAGGTCGGCCCTCAATCTCTCATTTGGAGGTCTCCACATGGTCAGTTTCATGACGGACAACATTGCAATGATTGGGAACTGCTTCGGCATAACCAAACCTCAAGAAACTGGGGTCATACAGTCACATTTCACATTTATCTGCACCAGTGCCTAGCCCCATTTTATTTCTGCATAGAAATAGCATGTAATCCATTTCTACTGCGTGACGCTTAGTAACTAAGCCCTCTCTGTGTTGTAATTCAGAGGAATGAATCGATTGTTCTTGTACCAGAGGGATTGATGGAATGCGCAGAACAGTCAGGCCTCGGTAAAACCACTAAAAAAAAACCGTCGTGAGAAAATAAAGTGGAAAGAGCGCCTGCGCTATCACACATTTTGCCTTGGAGTCTCTGAGGCGTAGACTCCCAAGAGACTACAGAACTTGGCAAAAGCCGTTGGCCCTAAAGGCTTAGTGAGACCATCAGCAGTTTGCTCCTCAGTGGGAACATACTGCAGGTTAATCTCTCCTGCATTCAGCACTGATCGCTGGTAAGGGAACTTCACATTAAAGTGTTTGGTCCGTTTGTGAAACTCGGGATTGCGAGAGAGTGCAATGGCCGACTGATTATCCGCCATAATGTTAGTGACAGGGGACCGATATAAGTATTTTTCTGCCAAGAATGTGCGAAGACACTGCAGATGTAAAATGGCATTATATTGCCCAATATACTCAGCATGGGTCGTGGATGTAACAGGACAAAAAAACAAAATAGGCTACATGAGGCTGAGGGCAAAGCTGTTCAAATAACTCGTTCTGGCGCGTCTAGCCAGTCCATGCAGGTACAAATTTGAACTTGAGCTGATCTACTGTAATCATTCCGCCTAAAAATCCATTAATTATTACTGGGCCCTGTTCTGTAGATGTTGAAGTCTACAGAGTAGATGAGATCATGAAACAGCACGATGTAATGTATTGTGGGTGATGATAGTTGTACTAGAGGAAAGGTAGGTGACAGAAAGCTGGTGTACGAACAATGTATGGTATAGATGACCAATGTTGAAGACTCTAACTAAAATGACAAAACCCGCTAACGTATTTTACCCTGTAGCTAGATATGTCAGACTGGGAATTAGGTTATAAATTTTATAAAATAGTATCCTATCCTCTCCTCCTAATTCTTAAAACGGTATAACTATAAATATATAAAATATAAAGACCCTAAAATTGTTAGGGAGTAGTTTAATTTAGTTTAAGGTCTCTTAACCAGTGAAATCTCTGCACGAGGTTCCACAGTGGGGCCAGTACGACGCAAGGCACCGAGGATTGGAGGAATGATTTTTGGGCGCGAAGCATACGGTTACGTAGAGGCTTCGACGGCACGGTGCTCATAACCTAATAGGCAGATCTAGTAGGACTACTATGAATATTGTAGTGCACTGGAAAATGTCATGTTGCGTTAGGAAAGGAAGAGAACTAGCTACTGTGAGACTAATTGTACTGGGAGCAAGCAAGCGAGGTCACGTAGAGATTAGTTATCTAGTTAATCTAAGGAATCGAGGCTATTTAGTTAAAGAGAGTATAGTAATAAAGAAATCAAGGCCGTTAGAAGGTCTAAAATTGATAAAATTAAAGCTATTAAAAGGCTTAAAATTAAAGGAATTCATAGCTCTTAAAGCTAGGAAATATAGGCTTTAAGAACTAGGGGGTATATCGAATACTAAGTCCGAATATATGGTAGAAACCAGGTATTATACTGGAAACATCATATGACATTAGGTACTAGACATACCATACAAAAGTGCATATTACAGTTAGTCATCATGGTCCGCACCGACTGTTGAAATAGCGGGTTTTGTCATTTTCGTTAGTTAGAGTCTTTAACATAACATTGGTCATCTATACCATATATTGTTCGTACACAAGCTTTCTGTCATATACTCCCACCCACCGACATCCCTGGTATCCCGCCTGATCACCCAGAGCGACCATATCGTCATGCAGTATGGGGAGTGATGGCGAATTTTACGTAAAACAACCCATCAATACTTCATGGAACCCCGCGGCGAGCGCGAGCACTGGAAGGTCCAAGAAGCAGAGGCCAAACAGATGCTATATGACTATCTGACCATGCCAGAGGGTCACATGCTGCATCCCAAGCGGTACAGTAACAGTATCACCAACTCACTCGTCATTGGTATTCGCACTAAAGCCGTCCACGATGAGTATATAAAGAAGCTCTTCTATCTGATGGATAAATGGTCCTTAGTACAGGAGTTTGGTACTACCCCTCCTGTCGCCTCGTTTGCTCTGCTGCGTTATGTGCCACAATGGCTATTAGGTAATTAGTGGAACCAGGGGGTCGAAGTGGGTGATCTAATGCAGTCACTGTACCAGACCGTACTAGATCAGGTGAAGGAGCGCCATCAACGGGGTATTCGGCGTGACTCTTATGAATCGGATTCTCAATACACTAAAACAGACCCCGCTCTCCGAGAATGAGCTACGATTCCTAGGCTCTGATACTTCGTCCTCACTTATACTGACTATCATTCAGGCCATGACTAAGTATCTAGAAGTGCAGGCTAAGTATTCTGAGCGGGTATTTCACCCCAATCTGCTTAGGTGAGAAAGCTAATAGATTGGTATTGTAGGACAAACACACAAATCGGCTCCATTATCGGCCATGACCGTTCCCCGGCTTGGTCTGACTGGTCCAAACTGCCCTACATCAGCATGACCATCAAAGAGTCCGACCAGTGGCGTCCCGTCAGCCCTTGGGGTGTTCCTCATGCCGTCGCTGAAGGTCGGTTGAATCGGACTGTTTCTCTCCTGCTAAGCCAATCATCACCGATAATCGTTCTCAATGCGTGGGGCATGCATCATGATAGTAAGCAATGGCAGGAACCACAGCATTTTCAGCCTGAACGCTTCGCCGGCCTTGGCGTCGGGCTATGCAGGATCCGAACGCCGAGACCACCTGAGTTACGGGGCGGGCCGGCGCCTGGCATCCACTGGGCGGAACGCAACTGGATCATCAGCGTTGCCAAGCTGCTCTGGGCCTTTTGAGTTCCTCGAACCAACCCCTCCCCCCGGTAGCGACAAGGATATTTCAACTCACTCCGGTACTAGTTAAGGGTTTCTTCATTACCCCACGGATTATAGCTGTACCATTTATCTTCGCTCTCTGGAGAAGTGGGACATCATTATGCGGGAATTTGCCGAGATGCAAGAGGTTTTCGCTCGATTTGATTAATTAGATTAGATGATATGCACTAAAATGTGATCATCAACCCCTCTCCCCCTCTCAATTGGGCGTTTCTTTGCAAAAGTCCGGTGAAAATATCGACGCCACTATGTCGTATATATGTCAGCTCGGCATCAAACCCCCATTTTTATGTAGATAAGATCCCCCGTATCCGTATAATTAATGTAGTATGCTTTCTATGTGGGTACATTCAATTTAGTCAAAGTCCCCGATTGGTGTGGTATCCCGTTTCTTGACATCTATCTCACATCCCACGCTTTAATCAATTGGCTACTTTACGTCCAACGGCGTAGGACTTTAGTCCATGACCCCTAGAAAACCCCAAGGAAGCGGCAAGGCAACCTTGTGTTCCGTAAACCCAGTGTTTGTTCCGGTCCCACGTGTAATCATAGTCTAGTTGTGCACGGGTACATATTATCTTACTATATGGCTACTATATCGTCCCTGGAATAAGCAATTTGGACCCTTCACCAAAACTAGCAAAAGAGGAGCTTCATCCCTGTACATCGATGCACCTTGTACTATAAGGAATGGTATAATGGCAGCTCCGTTTTTGCAGCCGATGCATGTCGCCCAGAAGAGCAGCGGAACAGCGGAGGTCACTCCGATTCCTTCACAGATTAGAGCTAATTTTTGAGATAAGGTGATTGCCCTAGCACATCTTTGAGGCATGGTTGGAGTTCACGGTGTCTGGATAGGACGTGGGGGTGAATGCGTGAAGAATCCCTTAGCGCTAGATGGTGCATAGCATAATAGGGCTTACGCTAGGGTTTCATTTGATTTGATTTGATTTAGTATATTATTTATTTATTTTATTCAGCATCATTTATGGATGTTTCTTCCACTTAATTAATCTATTTCTTCGCCATCAATGCATAAATAATCTAGGTTTTCCCTGCGATCTGTATTGGCTGGGATTGTATATTGTTCATAGTGCTTGTGAATTGTCTACTTCTATGAAAATACAGAGGTCGAACCCACGTTCACAGCTGTTGTATATTCTACCAATATAAGATGAAGCTTTTTGATTTATCCTTGGAAAAGCTAGGCAAAATCGTTGGTTCATGGAAGTCTCATTTTTTTCGTAGTAGGATTGGATTTCTTGTTCACTCCAACCTTGGTAGTTAGAAGGATCTAAGTCAGTTATCTTATCTGGCTGACTTTGGACCAATGACAGAATCACACTCGCTTATTATTCCAACAAAGAGATGTGGCTAAATCGGCCAAGGATTCATGATAATCATGATAATAGCCGTGGAAGCTGACAATTGACAAGATGACACTTTATGGGGGCGCGTACCTAGGTAGCATCTCACTCTTCTCCTCGTTTCTTCTTCCCTTTTTGGTATTTCATGCAAGTCTCATGCTGTGCAGGCTAGCCCGTCATCCCTGCTCTTGCATGTACTTTTGTCAGTTTGTCCGTTTGCCCAAGCTAAGACATGCAACCTCAGGCATCAACCGCCAACACAACTCCTGCGCGTTCTTTTGCGCGATCTACCACTCCCCCTCCACCCCCTCCCCGTCAAGTTCTCCAGTAGTCCAGAGGGAAAGTCCTTTTAAGGTTCCGACCGCCATTTGGAGTCGAATGAAACTGGTCTGAATGAATATCTGATTTGTTTTGTTCTCCCATCCCACGCCTCCGTCATGTACTCCACTTTCTCCGCCAACTTCGACACCACGATCGACGCCTCCCGTTACAGATCAGCCACGCCTATTACAACTCCACGACCAAAGCGCAACCAGGTCGCTCGGGCCTGCGACTGGTGTCGGCTCAATCGTGTCAGATGCGATGACAAGCAGCCATGTCGGAACTGCCTGAATCGAGGAGGCTCTTGCAGCAACACAAAGCCACAGGAGGCCACCTCGCTCCCAGCCGCAAACCGGTAGGAAACCAATCTAAATCTCCCTCAGGATCACATCGGGATGAATGTAAATGGCCCGCTGATGCGTATCGATAGAGAGATGCAACGGTTACGAAGTAAAGTCAAGGACCTGCAGGATCAGATCGCGAAACTGAAAGATGGAGCGCAAATCCAAGCACAGACGGGTTTCGCGACACCACCATTGTCGGATGCTGCCCACACCTCGTTCGATTTTGCAGAGCTCACCAATACCACAGAAGGATGGCAAGGCCTCCAGCAGACGGGGCAGATTCACTATGGGCCCTTGTCGTCCTCATATTTTGTCTCCCGAATCAGTCGCTATCTCTCACAAGCACTCGACCAGCCAATAGAAGATTCGAAGCTGGAAGCATGCATGGCACGCCTTCATTATGTTGCCCCAACCCATCAACCGTCTCGATGGGATGCAAGCCCGGCCAGCCAGGCAGATCAGCCTCCAGACGGAACCGAGGAGGCCGAGGATCTGACCCGGTCACAAGAGGAACACTTTCTCAATCTGCTCTGGCAGTCCTTTCATTGTGTATATCCCATCCTAGATGAACGCGAGTTTCAGCAACATTATAACTCATTATGGTCAAGTTCCACGGATGGAATGTCTTCCCGGAAGCCATCAGCCTTAGTCGATGTTTTGTTGGCAGTCTGTATGCAGTACAGCAGCACGTTCTTCGTCAGTGATGACAACCAGCAGGGAGATCCGGATGCTGGATGGCAGGCCAAACACGCGAATCTAGCCAGTCGAACTTACTACCGGAGGGCCCAGAGGCTGCTGCAGAGTGAGCTCGAAAATCCAACCATCATGGTCGTGCAGAGCCATATATATTCGATTGTGTACTTGTACAACACCTCCCTGTTGAATACGGCGCATATTAACCTGGGTGCCACGCTACGAATCGCCCACGCGCTGCGGCTGCATATCCGCCCGCTGAACGGGACCGCCCCCGAACAACAGGAGCTACAGCGCCGAATTTGGTGGGCGCTCTATCGGATGGACAGCCAACTCTCAATAACCCTGGGTCGGCCGCCACTCATTCAGATGTCGCATGTGAGCTGTGGGCTACCTGGAGATGATCGCGAGCACGCGAAACTATCTGGCACAGTTCTTCTCACGAATCATGAAGACATCAGCTGGCTTAGCTTCCATGTCCAGTGCACGAAGCTCATATTTCTCGTCCAGGGTGTGCAGACAGCATTTCACCGGAAATGTTCCCAGTTGCTGAACGGGGATAAAGTCAAGGATCTATATGATGACCCACGCGTCCTCGAGACTTTGGCCGAGTTTCTTGGACAGGAGATGACGGCGATCCATAACTGGGTTCAAAATGTGCCGCAGTCACTATGTAATCCTCGCAAGGGGGGCGGGGAACCCTTCTCCACCAATCGGGATGCGCTGAATCTGTCTCCGTATAGCCCGCTCTGGCTGCAGCGCCAACGCCTCCTGCTGGAGCTCCACTACCACCATCTTGTCATCTCGACACTGCGTCCCTTTATCCGATTCCCTCCTGTGAGCTCCTCGGTGACCCCACTGACCGACGGCTACAATATATCCTGTCTGAATCACGCCATGGCGATCACCAGTATCCTAAACCAAGTGCTGTCCGAGACAGATCTGCTGCGCGGCTGGTCACCCATCTTCCAGTACCAGTGGGATGCCATCCTGTGTACCCTGGGATTTGTGCTCGCCAATTCAGTCTGCCCACCGACCCCTTCTGCCCGCAAGTCGCTGCAGACGGCGATTCGCACACTGGACCTCGTGAGTGATCACTTCGTCGCAGCCAAAAATGCGGCGGAGGTCGTCCGCGAAGTCAGTTGCCAGGCCGATCGACTCATCAAAAGCGTCCAACAAGGCCTCACCCGGCGTCAAGTGCCGCGTACCAGCCAGGCCTTGTCTACCAGGGCCCGTAATTCTCTGCCGCCGTCGAACCAAACCTCATTCGTCACCCCCAGCCAACCAGGGTTCCGGTCCAACTCGCTCAAGCGGGCGCTGTCACCGACCACCCTGGAGGTATCACAACATCAGCCAATGCCTAACTTTGAAGCACGCATGCACTCAATGGAAATGATGCCTATTGGATCGTTACCAGAGCTATCTCCTTCTTTGGGGACTACAGAGTCTCTATCGATGCATTCGGCCCCGTCTGCTGACATGGTCATCGGCACTGAAGCCCAGTGGCTGCATGCGAATGCGATGATCCTGGATTCCTGGACCACCCACTCATGATTAACCTTTTACTTTTCATTCACTGTTGATCTTTTTGTGCTGATTTTACATTTTGTCCGACTTAGAGTACCGCCCTGTCTAACTCTAATCCATAGTCCCTAACCAAGCAGCAGGCCCTGCTAGGTGGAGAGAAATAGAAACATAAACTAGATCGATAACTTGTTTATAGTACAGTACATATGCACATGTATGTACCGGATGGGCCCTCTGTTTATCGAAATAGAATCTGGAGTATATATCACTGTTATTGAATTCTATATGATACCTCGCTATAACGTTTCACGCTTCACTGTAAAAGGGTAGCTTAAATTCTCAGTCCGATAGATATCTTCATGTCCAGATACATAGCCCGGTGGAATGTGGGGGTGTTTGGCGTAATTGGCACAATGGGCGGGATGGGCGTAATCAAAATGAAATGTAGTCCTTGACAATATAGACGTATATATACCAGGTCTCTTACAATCTCAAAAGGCATACACCAACTACTTTAATGTCTTTCTCGAATATTTAACGAAATGGCTCAGTCAACTTTCGAACGGCATTCTCTCCCCAGGGGAACCGGCATTAATAGCTTGGTCCTTCGTGATGTGCCCAAAATGGTTCCCAAGTACGATTAAATACTAGTTCAAATCAAAGCAGTCTCCCTTGACTGGAGAGATGGTAATATTGTCATGGGAACTTACCCTTTCCCTGGGCTCTTGTTCCTGGTAGTGATGGAGCTGGTATGATCCTTTGCCTATCATTCCACCTATTAACAGTGGCCTAACACGTCTATACATTGTTGATGCCCAATATCGAGGCTGCCTTTGCCGCCAATGGATTCTTCTTCATGCTCTGCAATACCTTCGCGGGGACGCTTTCGCCAAAGCCGGTAACCCCCGGCTGGCGTTGGTTATACAATATCTCTCCCCTCTTCTACCTAGGCGAGGGCGTTACTGTGGATGTGCTGCAAGATTTGCCCTTTCGATGCAAGGAATCCGAGATTTCAATATTCTACCTGGCGAATGGGACAAGCTGTGGCCAGTATGCTCAGGATTTCCTAAAAGTCGCCACGTGATATCTGCTCAATCCAGCAAGCACGACAGTGTGTCAATATTGCCAGTATCGCGATGGACAATCGTACGTAAGTAGTTCTGATCAGGATAGAGAAAGTCAAGGCAACGCATCTAGTCTGGAAACTAATCATTCAATAGTTTCAACAATATGGCTATGAATTTGCTCATCGGCATCGCGATATTGGCGTTTTCATCTGCTTTATTGCGTTCAATTTCACCATGCTTCTGGTGATGACCTCCCTCGCCAAAATGCGCCGTCATTGATGGAAGATGGACTTTACTCTGCTGTCACCTCAGGCTATGGAAGTTGCTTCAGGTGTTGCTTTCTTGTTTGATATTAGCAAAAGTCTAAAAGACATAGATCGATAGAAAATACCAACGGGCAATCTTTTGGGTGTCAGTTTTGATTCCATAGTACGAGAGTGATTATGAGATTTAATAGGACCTATCGCGGTGCGAAATATGTTGCTAGGATGACACCGAAGAGGGTATACTGAAAGAGCTATTTAGGGTTAGGATCAGGGTTGGGGTTGAAACAACCCTAACTCCGTGGTAGTTAATTAATGAGAGTTAAATGCGGTTCTCAACATGATATGCCCTGATGGGTGTAATAGGTTTCTTCAATAGCCTCTACTTAAATAATAATTGGTCTCTCCTACATAAATCATACGATAGAAGTATAATCATCATGAATTTAAGCTAAAATACGCTCCAACATAACAGTGTCGAGGTAGCTGTTCAGTTCCCTTGGCCAGTTCATCAAAATTCGACCTTGTGCTCATACGTACACCGGTCTATATTGGTCAAGGTTGGCTTGATGTGCACCCCGTCGTCTCCCAGAGAAAGCACCTGGGCTTGTCCGTGATAAAGAGGCACATGGGGGTCTTCCTTGGCGTTTTGATTCCCCGCTTTGACAAACTGCACGATCTGCCGTTGCGTAGGTTGTACAATTGTGGCATTTAAGGAGGAGTCAGAGCCCTGTCCATTGTAGAAGACAGATGAGGTACCCAAGAGATACAGTGCGGGCTTCATACCGGGTATTGCAGGTAGTGGAGGGCTCAGTCCAAAATAGATTTATCCGTTCGTACTGACTATGGTACGGCCAGCTTCCATTGAATATGGGTGGGTAGCGCACCTGCGTTGAGCGCATACGCTGGCATTGGCACCGCGGAACAGCAGATCCACGTATCGGTCAAAGGTGGATCGTTGGTTACATTGGCTAGGGCCAACATAAAGCTTTCGTTAGTGGTGTAGGAAGTAAAGATTCGGACCAAGGATTTCTAAGCTTTTCATTTTTCTCATAGGTACGAGACTCGCGTTGAAGGCAATGGCTTAGTGTCGCTGATAGCCCAGGTCCACAATCGGCAATTCGGCTGCTACAGCAGTCCCCCATGTGACCAGTAGCACGCAGGTCCTGTTGATAATTTCCATTGGAGATAAATTATGGAGTGTAATGAACTCCCACGCTTCTCTCATTGCAGTATTTATTTATTTATTTATTTATTTTTCAGTCTGATACAGTTATATATATGTTGCATAAGTCGAGGGCAATGTTCTATGCAAAATCATCTAACTAAAATAAAATAAATAGCAAGCGTGAGAGATGATTCAAAGTGGTCCCACCAAATTCCGTTTACGAAGTAACCCTCAGGGCTGTTCGGCATTTCTAAGGTTCTAAAGTTGTATTATACCTAGCATTTCTAAGGTTCCATGGTTTCCATTAGAAATCTGGGAACGATTAGAAATTCCAGTGCCGATCCATGGATGCAGGTCCAGCCAGATCCACTTAGTTTAATTTCATAGGTGGAGCCCTTTGGGTACATTTATCACTGATTAGGTGAGCTCGGGAATTCCCGAGGTCCCACTCGGATTCCCAAAGGAGATTCGGAGTTGGTTAGTCAAATGGTGGGCTACGATTGGTCAGATACCTAACTGACAAAGATGAATGTCCTAAAGAGGTAATGCATTGTCACCAAAATTTCCTCGTCCAGCACTGCTAGCATTTAAGTAACTACCCAAAGTCGGGCAATATGGACATCAATACTTTCGTCGACAGTCTCCAGCGAATATCTATATTTTTGCCTGCCATTTCCACTTCATTACGACTCCTTTGAGCAGAGCTGAACCCGCGGACCTTCAAACAACTACTAAGTACCACTGTTCACTTCCCGCTATGAGTATAAATGCTTCGACGCCAAGTGAGAGCATGCTCGAAAGCCAAGCCCTTGATCGCGTGGACGAATCAATCCCGATCAAAGCTGGGGATGCCGAGAAGGATGCAGCTCCGGCCCGGGAAATCGTAGGTTTCCGCTGGCTGCTCGTCTGTATTGCTGTTTTCTCCGCCAATCTGCTCTATGGCCTGGATAATACCATTGTGGCGGATATCCAGGCTCCAATTGCGGGTGACTTTAACGAGTACACGCGGCTGGGTTGGCTCGGCGTGGGCTTCACCTTGGGATCGGTGGTTTTCATTCTTCCGCTGGGCAAAGCTTACGCTATTTTCGATACAAAATGGCTCTTCCTTGGCTGCTTGACCATGTTTGCTGCTGGTAGTGCCCTCTGTGGCGCTGCCCCTAGTATGAATGCCATTATTGTCGGGCGTGTGTGGGCGGGAGCCGGAGGGGCGGGCATGTATCTGGGGTAATTTCGATCATGACAGGAAGAGCAGAAAGAGAGAGAGAGGGCTAACGATGATGACCTAGAAATCTGAATCTGATCACTATCCTGACCACCCCCACGGAGCAGCCTGTATATGTTGGCCTGGTTGGATTAATTTACGGCACTGGCTGTATTCTGGGTCCCATTATTGGCGGTGCCTTTTCCGATAGTTCGGCCACATGGCGATGGGTACGTGGAATCCATTTCGCATTTCTCCGGCCGAGTATGCTAACTACAGTGGACAGTCATTCTATCTCAATCTGGTCATCTTTGGAGTCATGTCACCCATCTATGTATTCCTTTTGCCCTCCCTACCACGCCCAGCAGGCGAAGGCCGCAGCTTCCTCAAGAAGCTTGTGGAGTTAGACTGGGTGGGTACCGTCCTTTCCGCAGGAATGCACATCTCCATCATCTTGTTCATCGTATTTGGGGGTGTCGAATGGTCCTGGACGGATGGGCGGAATATCGCTCTGTACGTGGTGTCCGCCGTCTGCACTATTGCCTTCTTCGCCAGCCAGTATTTCTGTGTGGGAACCACCAAAAAGGACCGATTGTTCCCCGGCGAGTTCTTACGAGACCCCACTATGATCCTCCTCTATGTCATCATGGCCTGTGGTGGTGCCGCCCTTTTTGTGGCAGTTTATTATATCCCACTCTACTTCCAGTTTGTCCACGGCGACTCCGGTATAATGTCAGCGGTGCGTTTGTTGCCATTTGTCTGCTTCTACGTGGCCACGATTCTGCTTTGCGGCTATGCCATGCCCAAGACCGGCTACTTTATCATCTGGTACCTGCTGAGCGGCGTCTTCATGCTCATTGGAGCCGTGTTGATGTACACCGTGAAACTGGATACCAGTCCCGCCAACGTCTACGGGTACTCCATCCTGTTGGGACTTGGTATGACCACCACGCAGGCCGCTTACGCGGTGGGTCCGGCCATTGTGACCCCCGACCGCGTAGCCGAATGTCTTCAGTTCATGAACATCGGCCAGGGCCAGAGTCAGCTGCTGGGATTGGCTATCGCAAGTGCCATTTTCCAGACCAAGACCCTCAGCGGTCTCACTTCTCTGTTGGCGGATAAGGGATATTTGCAGACTGACATCCAAGGTGCCGTTGCTGGCGCCCAGAGTACTCTGATGGAGCGGCTGCCCCCGGCATTGAAGACGGCAGCGCTGAAGGTGATTGTGAGTTCGATCAGTGATGTCTACGTAATGGCGATTTCGGCTGGCGCCCTGTACGTGGTTGCATCCTGCCTGCTACCTCGCCGTCGGTTTTAGGATCATTCCACGGTGAGGGGAAGCACCAATAGCAGACGGAATACTGGCTTTGAATCCGCCACTTGAGGTGTATTGGGTAATGGGGTTTCTTTTCTTCTTGTCCTTTTTGCCTGAGGTAAGGCTCTAGGCCTATGCTTCCCTTTTTTTTTGTTTATAAATCATAATTTGCCCAGCCAATAGAGTCAAAATATTTTCCCGGGGATAGGAGATAGGATAGTATAGAATCTCAGCAGCCGAGAATCCCCACATTTCAGCCGCGGTTGACAAAGCCCTAGATACAGGGTTTATAATCTACAGCAACACCCATGGATTTGTTACTTTTATCTCCGAAACTCCGTATCTTACCTAATATCAGTGAAGATAGATCAAAGATCAAATAAACGTATATATAGTCCTTATCTCTCTATCCCGCTCACCCCGCACTGACGTCGAAACAAATTACTTCGCGCATCTATCAATTCTACAGCAAAATACACACCATGGCCTCTTCGATTCCCAGCACCTACAAACAGGCGGTCTTCAAGGAACAAGGCGCGGGCCTAACCTTAGAAGAGGTTACACTGAATCTCCCCAAGCGCGACGAGATTCTAGTCAAAGTCGAAGCCTGCGGCGTGTGCCATTCGGACCACTTTGCGCAAACGAACCTCATGGGAGGAGGATTGTGAGCCATCCCATCAAGGAATACATGACATGTTGCCTAATCTCCGGTTCTTATACAGTCCCCTCGTTCCCGGTCATGAGATCATCGGACGCGTGGCGGCCGTTGGGGAGGGCGAGACTGTTTGGAAGGAAGGAGATCGGATTGGAGGTGCATGGCACGGTGGGCACGATGGTACGTATACTATTCATTCTCCGCCTTCAAAAGGGCAGGTTCCTTGACGAGACTATACTGATGCGTGGTGCACTGGACAGGTACCTGCGGGGCATGCAAGAAGGGCTTCTTCCAGATGTGCGATAATGAGCAGATCAACGGCATTTCCCGAAATGGCGGCTGTATGTCTTTGCCCTTTCTTTACTTCTCTCCCTTCTCCTGTGATGTGCCGCTCTTCTAGTATTCCGCTTATTCCACTTAGTGTAATGATATCTCAATGCTAATCTGACACCTCCCGCCCCGGTAGATGCCGAATATTGTCTCATCCGCCGCGAAGCCGCCGTGCACGTTCCTGACCATGTCAATGCTGCCAAATACGCACCTATGCTCTGTGCTGGTGTAACGGTCTTCAATTCGATGCGCAAAATGAACATCCCCCCTGGTGAAGTGGTCGCCATCCAGGGTCTGGGCGGACTCGGCCATCTTGCCCTCCAGTATGCGAACAAGTTTGGCTACCGTGTCGTGGCACTCTCGCGAGACTCCACAAAGGAGGAATTTGCACGAAAGCTGGGGGCACATGAGTATATTGACACGAGTAAAGAGGATTCCGTCGCTGCTTTGCAGAGACTTGGTGGCGCTTCGCTAATCGTGTCTACGGCACCTGTGCCGGAGATCATTAACCCGCTAATTCAGGGCCTCGGTGTGATGGGGAAACTGTTGATTCTGTCAAGTAAGCTTTCCTTGGGTGGTTTTAAGGCATTTGATTGGATGCTGATAATAATAGTTGTTGGTGGTATTGAGGTGCACACTGGAATGTTGGTAAGTAGGAATTTGCTATCTGAAGACCAGACAGAAACGAAAACGGAGATGATCGCAGTATTCAAGTGATGAAAATACTAACCACAATGCAGGTTGGAAAGGGTAAATCCATCTGGAGCTGGCCCAGCGGTCATGCCACCGATTCCGAGGAAGCCATCGCGTTTGCCGACCTACATGGCATCGATTGTATGGTAAAGGAGTTCCCTTTGGAGCAGTGCAACGAAGCATTCGGTATGATAGCTCCTTCCTTTATTTATGGGTTTATTCTCTGACGGCTTGTCCTATTTTCTATAGCGGCTATGATGGAGGGAAGTGTGCGGTTCCGTGCCGTCATCACCATGTAGTAAGGAATTGGAAGGTATATTAGGGACAGTTCCCATTATGCTTGTCATGCTGGTAGTATTTACGTAGGACGAAGTGTGAAAGGTGGGAAGGTGTGAAATATACATAGGATGGGGTGTGCAAAGTGTGAAAGGCGTGATAGATTGGGTATTTATTTCTACTAGGTACTAGATCCCACGTAATATGATTCGTCTTCCCTTGTAGTCGGACTGTACATTGCGCGCTCCTTAGCAGTTGTCTAGAATTTCACACGCAATTTTCTCTGCCATCGCATCTACTTCGAGTTAGACACTCCGTTCGAAGAAATGTATGTATAAGGGATGATAAAGACTTACAAAGCGTGGACTGGGGGTGGCCTGGTGGTAGAAACCGCAAAGCTGAGGCATCCACAACCCGCAGGACGTCATCACCCTTGACTAGAGCTATAGAGTCATCCACGGCCTGGCTGTCATTTGCCAGGCCCATAGGACAGGTACAGGAGGCATGGAAGATGGCATCAAAGCTCTTCCGGACATGATCCAGGATTTCCACATCCGTAGCGACCTGAGAGCGAGGGAAGTATTCAGGACCAATGAGAATAGGCTTGATAGCAGTGCAGTGGGAAGCCGCTCATTCGTTGTATTCTTGGTTGGCTTGAGCCTCAAACGCTTCATTCAGCAGAGCCGACTGTGTGATGACATTGACCCGGTGGGAGGGGGAGTAGATGATATGATCCTGCATGTTTTATCCCATACCTGGCCGCTGCAACGAGGGGGATACCATTTGTCTTTAGCCTGGTCGCAGGGCCCACGCCAGAAACCATGAGCAACTGAGGTGATGAGAATGCCCCCGCCTAGAGAACAATTGAATTATCTCCTTTCGTGCGGGTAGCGTGTACGCATGGCCCATTGTCTCCACGTCGAGTGCGACAGGCTTTCATCGGCATCTTCATCCTAGCAGGCCGGTATTGGGACTGGGGTCCATTCTCCAGCCACCATATTTTTGGTGATGACGGCAATGTGACCGCTTGGGGATCATTCACACGTCCCGCACTCTGAGGAAAATGATTATTTCCCCCTGAGCCGCTCAGACGCGGGTGAACTCGGCAAACCAGATCTTTGAATCTCAGTAGATGGAGGATACCTCACCGTCCTTCGGATCGGAAAATAGTACTAAGCTGTCTATTTTCACCCTGAAGGTGGCACCTCCATGGCCTGATTGAGATCAGGCGTTATAGCGGAAGGACACGATGTTGCTGCAGGGAAGATGATCACCCCAAAGGAGTTTCGGAGGGATATTTCCTCTTTCGGAAGCAGCAGGAGAGGGTGATAAGATTATTAAGCGCCCATAAATGAAGACCACCAATTTGGAGGGCACATATGCGTATAGATCTATAAACACACTCCGTAGTCCTTCTCTCTCCATGTTGGCGTTTCTTCGGAGTATTCCGTAACCCCTGCAAAGCTCACCCGCCGCCGTTGATCCGCGTTCAAAGGTGGTGCTCTGGTATCATGATGATCGCCAATCAGGGTGGTACGGTCGCTGCATGCAAGGAAAAGGGGAAGGGCACAGGTAGTCAGTCGCATATCTGTATTTGAGCAAGAAATACTAAGTGCTGGTTTTCTAAAGGTTATCTCTTTTCTATGATGGAGAAAATCGATGTACACCACCATTTCTATCCTTTGGCTATGCGTCAAGGTCAGTGTCGCGCGTATTGGAACGGGGGCCCCATTGATTAACCTTTAATAGCCCTGGATCGCGCGGGTGGTGATCCTTCGGGCTGGTACACTCCACCCTGGACGCTGGAGCTGGACCAGGACATGGCACGACGGATGAAAGTGACCACCACCATTCTCTCCGTCACCGCACCGGGGCCATGCATCGAGACTGATGTTACTAAAGCTGCCGCCCTAGCGCGCAGTTGTAATGAATCCGCCGCCGCCATTCGGGACGCTCAGCCGCGCCAATATGGCTTCTTCGCCTCAGTCCCCTCTCTGTTCGACACGGCGGCAGTGTTGAAGGAAATTGATTACGCCTGCACCACTCTCCGTGCCGATGGAGTCACGCTGTTTACTCGCTACGGCAAGGGTCCCAATTATCTGGGACATGCAGCCTTTCGACCTATCTGGGCTGATCTCAGCCGCCGCGGCGCCGTGGTCTTCATACACCCAACCCACCCGGTCGATACGCAGCTCATCAACACCTGGCTACCGCAGCCTATGTTTGACTATCCGCATGAGACTGGCCGGGCTGCCATGGATCTGCTGACCAGTGGCATTTTGCAAGACTATCCGGGATGCAAGATCATCCTGTCCCACGCGGGTGGAACCCTGCCGTACCTCATTCACCGGGCGGCTACTATGCTGCCCTTGATGCCACGCAAGCTCGGTCTGTCAACTGAAGAGCTGGTGGAGGCTGCCCGGACTTTCTATTTTGACACAGCCATCTCATCAAACTCGGTCACGTTGAAGGCGTTGTTCGAGTTTGCTGCACCAGGCCATGTGCTCTTCGGCAGTGACTTCCCAAATGCGCCGCAGGACGCAATCCAACGCTTCACAGACTTTTTGGAGGCGTACGAGCTACCGGAAGAGACCAAGCGGCAGGTAGACAGCGGGGCGGCTATAGAGTTGTTTCCGCGTTTGAAGGGGAGCCTAGATAAAGCGAAGCTCTGACATGGGGTCAATTCTAGCTATACACGAGAAGTTATTGGACAAGTGTTGGAGCCGAGGCTGGTGAAACTATATTGCTAATAATCTAATGATTATTTGTAAAGCACAGTGCGGGTATAATAGTAAAACCATTCGCTTGCAACGTGTCATCCCATTGAGGAAACTACCAATGTATGATCTATATGTCTGTGAATGCTAGAGTTGGGACTTTGTTAGCCTCACTTAGGCAAGTCTTAATAACTTCATGTTCCACATAGCACCCAGACAATCCCAATTCTCGGCTTTCCTCCTGGACGACGCAGTCATTCTTCCTGAACCCTGTATCAGACATGGATGCTCACGACCAGATGACCATGAAATCCACCCTCCCAGATAGAGGGCCCCAGTTTCCTGGGTCTACTAGTTCATGACATCAGAGCCTTGCAGCATGCATCTCTTTGGGGATGATTAAGAGCTCTAGTTTTGGATACCAAATCCCTTCCTTTCAATGGCCAGTTAACTCTAGAACCGACTCTCATAGTATATTCCAGCAAACTCTACACAATGAAAGAGGAGAATGTTTCGCCAAGGGAAATATTAGTGGGTAACCGAGTCTCTTTTTGGTGATCGCAACCAATCCCATTATGCATGCAACTTGGCATCAGCCCCTCGCCTTCGATCCATAAGTCAGCACCCCACACTAATGCCCCTACTAAAGAACTCCAATCGCCAAAGGAGTCAACCCAGATAGATCTCATTGACTATGGAACCATCATTGCTTTCGCTGCTGGTATTGTTACCAGCCATCGTGCTCGTACGATATGCCTTCACCTACGGTCATCGGATTAGCACCATGCCCACCGGTGAGTCTTCGACTTCAAGATCGACTGAGAGTGTATTTACTCATCTAGCGTAGGTCCACCTACTCTACCCTTTATTGGAAACATTCACCAGATCCCCAAGAAGTACACCCATATCAAGTATGTGCAATGACCTCCCCCCTTTTCCTTTGAAGCAGACAGAAAATCCTCACCGCCATTGTTTTACGAGGTCCAGGTTCACCGAATGGGCCGCCCAGTATGGCGGGTTATATATGCTCAAGATCGGAAATGGCAATATGGCCGTCATCACCGATCGCCGGCTAGTCAAAGAAGTCCTCGATCGCAAGAGTAGTATCTACAGCCATCGGCCCCATTCCTTTGTCTCGCACGATCTCATCACTAAGGGCAATCACCTACTGGTCATGCATTATGGCGACCAGTGGCGCACCTTCCGACGACTGGTTCACCAGCACTTCATGGAGACCATGGTAGAAAATCACCACACCAAAATCGTCAACGCTGAGGCTATACAGCTCATACGAGACTACATGATCGACCCGGAGCACCATATGGCCCATCCCAAGCGGTACAGTAACAGTATCACCAACTCGATCGGTATGTCTTCCATAATGGATTTACTGTGGGAATAACCCCTAAAGCCCTATCACAGTATTCGGGATCCGCACGGCTAACCGGAAGGGATCAAACATGCGACGGCTTTACAAACTCATGGAGGAATGGTCGGAAGTCATGGAAACCGGCGCAACACCACCAGTAGACCTATTCCCATGGTTGAAACTGTTACCACAATGGCTGTTTAACAACTATATCGACCGGGCTAAGTCTATCGGTGTGCAGATGGAGACCCTCTACGTCGACATCCTGAACAAGGTGATCAAGCGACGGGAAAATGGCCACAACAATGGTACTTTTATGGACAAGGTCCTGGATAGCCAGGAGAAACACAATCTCCCCTGGCACCAGCTGGCCTTTATCGGCGGTGTTCTGATGGAAGGCGGTTCGGACACTACCTCCAGTCTCATCCTGACTATCGTACAAGCGTTGATCCAAAACCCCGATGTTCAACGAAAGGCGCATGCTGAAATTGATGCTGCAGTCGGCCACAACCGGTCGCCTGTTTGGGAGGACTTTGAGCGACTTCCTTATATCAATATGATTGTCAAGGAAGGTCATCGGTGGAGGCCTATACTTCCACTCTGTTTTCCTCATGCACTAGGAGAAAGTGAGGCTATTTCTTTCTTAATTTTTTTTTCTTTCAAATTATAATCATCTTCTAACCTCTGTACTAGGCGACTGGGTTAATTACAAATTCCTCCCCAAAGGCACAACAGTCGTGATCAACACCTGGGGAATGCACATGGATCCGTCCCACCCCGATGACCCAACCGCTTTCATCCCCGAGCGCTTTGCCAAACATCCTAAATTGGCTCCCGAATATGTGTCGGGAACATGGGAACGTCGCGATCACTACGGCTACGGCGTTGGGCGCCGGATCTGTCCTGGCATCCACCTGGCCGAGCGCAACATGTTCCTAGCCATTGCCAAACTGCTGTGGGCGTTTGACTTCCAAGCGGGAGAGGGCCAGGTGGATAGTGATCCGGTGAGTGGGTATCATAATGGCTTCCTTTACTGTGCCAAAGATTATCCTTGTCGGCCTGTGATACGCAACGAGACCATTCGGGCTACGATTGAGAGGGAATATGCCACTGCGACGGCGGAGGTGTTTTCTACGTTCACTGAGGGATAGTTGATGGTCGGGACAGACGGATTGGAATCATTGATGGAGCTGCGGTTAGGGAAGAGAATGGTCGCGTGTTGTTTCCTGGTTTTACTATAGGTTTCAGAGCTAAACATAGTATGCATTTGTCGTTCAACATCAATGAAGTAGGGTTGCAGCAACTTCAGTCCATTTGTGCTCAATCCATGTGGGCAACTTTATAGCCACGTTGGAATCATCCTTGATGTCTGTGAAGAGGTTTTGGATTTGTTTCTCCTATTATTGTCCACCTGAGACTGAATCCGCAATTGCGAGGGCTTGCAAGGACTTGAATTCTCTTTATTGACTCTGTACTAAAAGACTAGGCCTCCCAATCTCGGAAGATATTTTCTAATTTGGGCCCCTATATCCAAGACAAGGGGGCTGCATAGAATAGGGAAACAATCGCCGGATGCTGGTGTATCAGCTTTCCTTCAGTTTATGCCTTCTTCCGTGGTCCCATCTGTAATAGAAATTCGGCCTCAGCTACCAAAAGCAAAAAGAGAAATGCCATAGATGGCCCCCATAATCCCTGCAGCAACAACATTCACCGGAGAACTCGTAATCACTACCGCACAGCCCATGCTCATGTACCAGCAGATGAAACGAATCCAAAAAGGTTTCTTCCCTCGGATAGACATAATACTGAGTAATATAAACAAATAGAACGGTATAAACATCAACGAACCCCCCTAAAGGATCTTGGGCATATGGCTGAAAGGGTGGAATAACTGCGGCAACGGCCATTAGCGATCGGGGCATCGAAGCTCTCCAAAGTGATGGTAACTGACCAGACAACAAAAGAAGCAAATATAAGACGTCACCAAGTTTTTCCACGTCCAAGTGTTCGCAGGAACACTCGAATGATGCTTCCAATGACAAGGGTATAAGTATTGTGCCAACCATAAGTGGCACTGCAATCTCGAAAAACAATTGCAAAGACCATGCTTTATTGGCTCCAGAGTCCACAATCTCGGAATGGGGGATGGTGATGTTGTCCGGGTTGGTTGGATCAATCCTGGTGGCATTGCGCCAAGATGGTTGAGGCTGCGTGTATTGGTTAAGATTCATATCTAGAAAACTCTGAAATTGAATGACTCAGAAATGAATCCAAGGTGGTCACGTCAAAGAACTCACAGTCACAAACGCAAGTGGCAGGTATAGTCCAGCGAGAATGCCCAAGATGTTTGTTGGGCGTGTTTGCACAAAATCCAATTGCTCGCGAATGTCTCGACATACACCCGGTATTCTTTGCAACGAGGACTCAACTTCGTCGTGAAGGTAATCTAGATCATTCCTCGCCATTTCAAGCTCGTTAATTAAGCTTGTCTCGTCATCAGTGCGTGGTCCTTGGATCGAGTTAACTTGGTCGAGCAGCACCTGAAGGGTACGTCGATTGTTTCGACAGCAATCTTTAGCGACATGGTGGCAGTCTTCTAGGTGCCGAAGATATTGCATCTTGCTTCCAGAGGGACGAAGCCGTCCTTCGTAAAACCAAGCAAATCAGCCCCAGTACAAGGTTTGTTGTCGCGGGTGGTAATGCTCACCATATAATTGATATCGTCGCATGTCTTTGTTAGAAAAGTGACGGCCTCATCGGTGGTCTTAGTACCCAACGCTCGGCAGAGCCGCATTATATAAGGAAGTCCAGAAACTTCATGTTGAAATACTTGGGGGAGCAAGTTGCGTAACTCCGCTAGGATGCTGTGAGAGTTGATAACCACAATCGCCCGCCTAATCTGGTCGTATTGCATGGATATATCCAAAGTCTTTACTTGGGGATATCTTCCATATGGCTGAAACACGTAAACTGAAAGGACCCTCGCGTGATACGGAGCATTAATCCATTTGACAGCAAACTTCAATGGCACCTGGACGGAGCCTTCTATTTGCGATATGTTACCTTTGATGCCAAGTTAGTACAGGAATAAGAGCTTGCATGGGCCAGGTACTGTACGTTGAGATGGCAGTTCTGGTTGCCATGCTGAGAGAGAAACCTCGTTTGGACATAGGCTTTCCGTAATTCTGGCCATTGTGTCATCACTGAATCTCCATTGATTGTGGAGAATATGAATGACTATTTGACTCGGCAGGGACTAAGCTTCTCGAAACGATCATGGCCGACCAAGAAGATTCTGTGAATAAAGGAAAACGCGCGGCCAAGATGCGTGGTGTCGGAGGTAACCGAGGCAGATTTCCAACTCATTCTCATTTTTCTCTGCAGAAGAGCGTAACTGCCCAAAGCACGTTGACCAGGTATCATATCTCTCGAATATCAGCTCATCCGCATCAGTCGCTTTATACATGAAAGTTTGTCCAACTCGGCCTAGGTTGGGTCGTCCGGCGATTTTAAAGTAGTTCTTCAGGGACTCCTCGCCGGAGATAATCTTAAATATCTCATCCAAATTGAAATCGCGTCGGAACTTTGCGTCTTAGTTATTATTACCGTTCTGAAGAGGCGGTTTTGCCCTTGGCTCACAACTGCTCTGGTTATCCTGCTAGTGAGATTTTGATTCCTTTGCCGAATCCGTCTTCTGCCACGAACAGTTTGCGCAGCCATGTCTTCCAGATCGATAAGTGTCCTCGGACGAGGCAAGCCAGTGGGCGTGCGTGCGAAAAACTCAGCCATAGTGCCCGAGTATTCTATGGCGTCAAAGAAAAACTGGCAAAAACTGGCAAAAACTGAGATTAAACCACGCCAATCGCACTTTGGTCACAATGTAGCTTCAGTAAAGTCTACCAACAAAGTTGCTCTTCACTTGGGACTGGGTTATGACGTGTCCATAGCGATAAAAAGCAAAACCATTCGCCTTGGTTAATCCCAGCTGACCGTAGCTGGTTGGAGCCCCGAAGCGCTAATCAGTACTGCATGCATGCGCCGCAACCTATTGAATGTCCTGTTAGATTTAATGTATTACTACACCGTCACATCGGGAGTATTCCCAGCTTTCCCATGAGTTTGAGCGGAAACTGGAAGAAAAAAATATGACAAGTTCGGCGCATGATATAAGAGGCCGCCACTCCTGTCAGGGCGGTGCGTGGAGTAGTCTGGGGATACTAGCGTTGTCAGCCAGTTCAAAGCCCCAAATAACTGCTCATGTCAATTTCTCTATCACCGGATGCCAATAGTGTCGAATGATCCGATGGATCCGGGTTTCTTCCGAGGCAAAACGACGTCCACGAGAAACCGAGAACATGCAGCTGAAAGAAGGCAAACAACCACCTGGTCTAACCCCCCTTTTGGGATTGATCTCATCCAGTTCAAAGGTGGGCTGTGACTTATGAGGAAGTTCGCATCGAATTGTTTCCAGAAATACTGTTACATGGAAAAAGGAATTATATAGGAAAGAGGTGGGGTTACATATTGATATAAGAGCACACCAAGGTGATCTCAACACAGAGTTTAGACGAGATAAATATCTAAAAAATCTATTAACCTATCTCTATTACTCTTATCGTAATGGTCTCCCCCCTTTCGCCCACTTTTCTTTCGCTGTCCAGCATGTTGCTATATCCCAAGAGGTCCCCTATATCCGCGGCGAGCACCCCATTGCCTGCAGACACTACCCATAGGGAAAGACATTTTCAAACAGCACGATTTCCCATTGCCTTTCCCATTGCCTTTATGGAACTATAATACATTGGCTTGCTATTTAAATACAAAAATTATTACACCGACACTTCATTTGAGATGCCATCAAACTCCAGCCCTTCCTCTTGATCGGTGCGTTTAATCGTCATCAGATGCTCCCAATGCTCGGGGTACTTCTGACTCGCCCATTTCTCTACCTCATCTTTCCAGTATTGGTACGGGATAGCGTTGTAGAACAACCCGATCCTAGGACATAGATTAGCGATTAGAACGCACAGCGAATGAATATGTACTCACGTATTGCTTGTAGGAGGAAGCCCAATCTCAGCTTCCATGTTGTTGATAGCCTCAACGGCCAGATCAAACTCGCATTGCGCTGCCAATGCCTCCATGTACGCAGAATAGAGCGGGCGGTTCGCAGTGATCTCTAGCTTCTTGACCTTACCCATCATCTTGATAGCCTCCTGGGCACCATTGTGATGCTTCTCGCAGACCTTGAAGAAAATCGTGATAGTCTTGTGACAAGGGCCTTCCTCCGACTGAAGAATCTGTCGGAAAATTTCCATGCTCTTTTCTGGCATCTCGCACGCAGCATATGCCATCATCAGACCATTTAGGATTCTTGTGTTGAGATCCACTTCAAGATCCAGTTTCAACATGTTGTGCACAAGCTCTAGGTTGGTCCCATCTGCCGTGCGAGCCAGGCCCTGGAAACAGCGCGCATAAGTGTCTGGCTTGGGGCGTCGACCGGGCTCGTCGGCTTGACGCATATGTCCAAAGACCAAGACGGCAAGATCACTGCGCTTCCGGTTGAAGAAGGAGGTCATGATTTTGGTGCGGACTGAGACCCACGTCTCCGGGAATGCGATCTTCAGAAGTTCGTATGCATTCCACACGTCTGTATCGGACTGGCTTTTGTCCATAATGTACTCGGCGAGCGCGTCGCGCACCGGCATCTTCTGTTCGTCGCTGTAACTGCCTAGTCTTGGACGTAGCAACTCTGAAACGGCATCGAGATCGTTGCGGTAAAGGAGCATGTGTGTCAATGCGGCAATGGTCGCAGACTCTAGACGCACGTTCTCTTGGAAAAGCGGGTCTAGGAGGGAGGATATTTGGTCGAACAAGGCGTCCTTTTCCTCAGATCGACAGAGCATGGCGATGAGCTTGTTTGCAACTGGCAGGTTGTGACTTGTGAGGGAGGTCACGTCAATCTTTTCGTCAACGATCTTCAAAGTCTCTTCGACATCGCCGGCCTGGATACGCGACTCCAGTTCTAAGATATGAGTTTGGCTATCTGGGGTGAGACCCCACTGGCCTGCCAGCGCCATGAAATCAGAAGCCAACTGGGGGTTCTGCGTCGCGTTTGCATACTGAATAAGGTTATTAACGAGGTCAATGTTGATGGACCCCTTGAGTTGAGAATCCTTCGCAATCCATGCATGGGCCTTTTGCGCAAGAGCAGAAGCGTTGCTCCCCTTTGCTGCTTCCCAGAGCAAGAATATGCTAGCAGTGTCTTCGGTGGGCTCATTGGGGAGAGAATTGAAGATCTCCTCCGCCGCCTCTACCCGCGAATTCACGAGATAATATTTTATGAGAGCCTCTCTCGCAGCCATGGAGGGTTCTGAGTCACTGGCAATTGGAGAGTCGTAGACAGTTTGAGCCGCTTTCCACTGACCGTGGTCGATGAGAAATTTAACGATCTCCCCATGCGACGCCTGGTCAAACTTGTTGCCGTGGTTTCCCCACTCGTCAACAATCTTCCGCACCTGTCGCAGATCGTCTTTCATGGCAAATCCTTCCATAATTGTGAGCCATGGTGACGGGACAGCCTTGCTCATTTGACCCCAAAACTTCAACAAGGTATGCCTAGCATCCTCCGGATTGCCATTCATAGCCAAGATGTTGATATAGAGACCAAGGGCTGGCCGGCTGATCTTCCCCGGACCAAATCCGTGATCGAGGTTTAGTTCTTGATATGCGTATCGGGCAAGGTTCATGACAACCTCACGAGCCTGTGGGGCACAGCCGGACTCAGAGAGTACATCCAACACTTTTTCGAGGTTCTCAGTCGAGAAAACATTTTGCCAGTCTTCTTCCTCCATCTCGTTCTGCTGGGCCCTTAGATGTTTGAAGGTGATGATCAGCGCGCGGGCTTGGAAATGACTGATGAGCATTGGTGTCTCAAGCCGCATTGTGAAAAAAGTTTGGAATGCCTTTGCAAGAATATCACTCGGAGGAGTTCTGCTTCTATCTTTGAGTGCCCTCATCAAGTCAGCCATTGGTTTCAGGCCCTTTTCGGAGGGCAAAGTAGATTGTGACCGCTCGGGGTCTGAACTGAAGACAAAGAGGTTGCGTCGTGATATATAAGGGAGACTCGACATAGCAGGTCGTACACGGGCAGGGGTGATTGTGTGCAATAGGCGATTTCGATGGCATTGGGAGAACCGAAGTGGTTCATTGTTGATAATTGCCCGGAAGACCCGTCTCGTGAGATGGGACTGCATTATAGATGATGTGGGGTGAGCTTATAGCCAAATTAAACAAGAGGAATTGGATAAAAACGTGTAGTCCCAAGTTGACTCGCAATCCGCATAGAATCATGAAAAATGGGGGTTCGCGACGCGGAGAGATCTGGAAGCGGAAGAAGGCTTGGCAAAAAAAGATCTCATCTCCGCGTTGCCCGGTCTCCCTATCACCGTTTTCAACATCTACAACCAATCAGGGATTGAAAGGTCAAGATGTCTCTGAACCTCTTTTCCTCGTCGTCATTGCTGCGCAATGCCGCGACTACAGCCAATGTTGGCCTGTCGCTCTGTCGCTGGAGCTCTACCGCTGCCATGAGCGCTTTCACTTCCCAGCGCGCCACAAGCTCACAGAGTATGTGATGGACCCGATATACCCAGAGTATCTATTTGTTGTGCCATCCTATGATATGGAACACATTTATTTGAGTGTGAGCAGCGACTAACGCGTTGCGATAGCCTCCCAAGTGGTCCAACGACGCCGGTTACCCAGTCGCCTAAAGTTCCTCGAAGACCAGAAGGCGCAAGGCGAGAGCCGAGCCCTTGAGAGATACCAAACCCGTGATTTCAAGGCTGGAGACGTATACTCCCCTCACGATCTTAGCCCGGCCGAGATGAAGAAATGGGGAAAGCGCCAGAACCCTCAGACAGATGCTTTCGATGCATTGAACATGAATCCTATGGATTTGTACAAGGTACGGAGTTCTCGATCCAACGGAGCCATTATTTTTATGGAGTGTGTATCATGACAAACAGCGACTGACTGTTCGCTCTTTTATCATTACAGAACTTCTCCGTCATGTCCGAATATATGACCAGCATGGGCCGTATCAAACCCCGATCCATCACCGGCCTCCGACCTGTCAACCAGCGCAAAATTGCCAAGGCTCTCCGGAGAGCCATCGGTATGGGTCTTATGCCTAGTGTCCACCGACACCCCGAAATCCTCGCAGCCGAGATGCGGGCACGTATGGAGGGCCCTGGAGGTTTCTAAGCCGAGCATACTACTTTGGAGTCATTGTTTCTGGGATTCTAAACAGTTTTGGGGAGATCTCCTTGTACAAGTACAGGCCGGTGCCTGGTGGAAGGGGCACGACTTAGTGTATTATTACTCTTAGCGCTATGCATTGATTTTATTAAGAGATACAGCTTTCAGCTTCCTTTGTGGTAGAATATTTGGAGTTACCAGATATATTCCGTATGTGTTGACCACGATATTTCTCTTTCCTGCATATTCTCAAATGCTTGTTTTATGTAGACAATTCGTGGCTGTGTTCCCCGCTATTGTGGCCCGGGTACGTCAGTCAATAAACAGCGGACTAGCGGACTTTCCTCTGCTTTCTCCCAACTCCTCTGGTTGAGAGTGCAGACCTTAGCAATGTCACTTACGAATGGTGAGAACCTGACAGCCTCATATTGTCTTTCATTATCCTGACATATTCAAAGAGTCCATTTGGGCTCCTAGCCCCTCCACCACCCGCGGCCAGCCCACCCAGCTCTCTTCTGATTCTAAAG